ACACACACACACACACACACACACACACACACACCGCTTTGTTTCTGTGAAAGGCCACCCCTGCACTACCCCATAGCTTTTCCTTAGCCCACAGCAAGAAGAGCCTTGTGTCCTTTTCCCAATTCACAGCCACACTCTCCCAGATCACTGTGGTGCTTGGGATCAACCGAGAGCAGAGTTTCCCCTCCCAAGTTTTATGAAGTCCTGAGCCATTCATCACAAAAGACTGGGCCCGGGCATGTAATTTTTTTCTCCCCATCTCAGGCACTCATCCTTTGGGGCGCAGGCTAAACACATCTACCACTATTTGACTTCAAGACGTGTGCTTGTTTTCTTCCTTCCTTCATCTACTATGTTTTTCTTAGACAGCACTGATGATACCATACACAAAGGGCAGGAAACTGGCTTTTCTGGGTCACCAGTAACCTTGTGTGTGCCTCCCCCTACACACACACACAGCACCAAGAATCTTTCTCTTGGTTGAACCATGAGTCTGTGAGTGGGCAGCTGAATGTGAGTCACTCACATAACCCTCTTTGCCCTGACCCTCGTTTTCCCCCCCATGGGAGTGGGGAAACCCTTGTATCTCCTTGTCACTGTTAAGCATGAGACATCCTCTGCGAGATTGGTATTGTGTCTCCCAGTGCACCCCCTGTGGGTCGTCCTAGTGCAAGTGCGTGCGTTTGTTTGTTTAAAAAAACCCCACTGATGATGAGGGTTGACACCCTGTTGTAACCGGTCATAGCAGCAGCCCCATGTTTTTAGTAGTTACCTTCTCCTCCCTGGCTTTCTGAGCACGATGCCTATGTGACCCTCTGCCTTCCACAACTGAATTCCGCTGAAGTGATCATGGATGTGATATTCACATTCTTTGGATGATCTGCCTGCAGCAGGTGAGATGGACTTGCAACTTAAGGCCATGATCTCTTCCTTTCCACATGGCAAAAATGCCGGGGCTTGCAAATCTCGCCCCGGCCAGTCCAATGGCCTGTGCCAGGGTTTCTGGAATAGCACTTTATTGTGGTGGTTTTTTTCCGACTGTCCCCCTACAAGGGAACTTGAGTAAGACCCTGGAAATGGGAAATTGGCTCCTCTCTTCCTTTGTATGCCCTTTGTTTCTTTTGGTACCTTTCTGATGCAAATTAAGATGCCATGTTTTGGTATGGGTAACCTTCTCCGGTAGATCAGTAAACCACAACTGGTTTTCAGATCTGAGCCCAGATTAAGCTGTGATTGCATCTACTTCTCTCTTTTCCTCTCTCTTTTTTTTAAATAAAAAATATGCTTATTCACTTTCTGGGCCACATCAAAGTTTCCGTGCTTTCCTTAAGATGTGCATGGAGTCCCTTTGGGGCCGCATCTAGCTGTAGCCATTTTCTCTTCTCAAAGTATGCAATATTCCATACCATGGCTGCCATATAACCTAGATAATGTGCCATAAAAGAAACTGGAGGGTATTGACAGTTGAGCAGAAAAAAGGGGTTTTATATGCAATATTCCCAAAATGGCGGAAGCTCAGCGTGGCTTCAAATAGGTTTTTAATGAAGACTTTTAATAAGGCTTTAAAAAAAATGGTCCTTGTATCCCTTCCTATGCATTTTGAATGATACGAAAATGAAATGCATTACTTAAATGTGTATTTTTATCCATATATTAGAGTGTATTCCTTGTAAAGTATTTTTATACGCTAATTTTCTTATGTATCTATGAAAGCACAATATTCAAAGAATATTTTAGTCCTGTTTTGGACCTATTTGTAAATCTATGTATTTAAATGGTATTGCGATTACTTAGATTTTTTTAATTAAATAAAAGCAAAACAAAACAGGTTTCCTGTTTTCTTTGAAAAGTTGGCATCTCAGTGATACTTTGCCTATCTGTGGTCTATCTCTGCTTGCACTTGGATCTCTGCTGGGCTGCCTGCTTGAGACCAGAAAGTAATCTCTGGATCATCTCAGAATCAACAGAAGAGAAAAGCAAAAGCTGAGGTTAACTTTAGCCAAAGGAACCACTTTTAAATACTTGTTGATTTTGAATGTGAGTTTTAGTGTGCAATCCTCTACAAGTTTACTTGGAGGCATGTCTTATTGAGTCTGACAACACTTACTCTCAGGTAAGTGCTTGCAGGATTGCTGGCTTAAGCACATGCTTAGGTGGGCAGCTCACCACCTTCACTGACAGTCTCCAGCTTCTTCTGCCTCCCAGGGAACAAGAGCAGGCCTCCACTCAGAACCATTAAGACATAGCTGACTTCACGTAGTAAGTCTGGGGTTGTCTCATGCTTGTGGCTGGATGGAAGCAAAAATGACTGTACTCTCCCTAATTTTGTATTATGCCATGCTCCTGTGACAGCCATTTTGTGACTGGTGCCCACAACGCATTCTCAAAATCCAAAATACTTTTACTGGTCCAAACCAGCTGGCAAACCCTTCAGATTTTACATTTGCAAACGTGGAGGAACAGCCCTTATTGCTTATTTGTCCTGGTAGCCCTGGGTACATTCTGAAATCTATCTTTCATCTCATGATACTGTTCTAGTTGTATCTGTGCAAGCCATCCCGCACAGCAGACTCTGGGGCAGCTGAGCTTCTGCTACATCCTTAACCTTGTTTTGTTTAGCATCCAGCCTGATTAACTCAAAAGCTTGCTCACAATATTGTGACACTTTGGTTGGATCCCAGTAACGCGATTGCCATAGTGTGCATGTAAACAAACAAAACACAATACTTTCAATGCATCAGCAATGCTACCCAACTGATTTTGAATGCTCTTCATTATAGAATTTAGCATAATAGTTGAGATAACATTGGAAGCAATGAGTTATTTTTTGTTGGTCTTCCATTGCCATCAATGGTATTTTAAGCACTTTGGGTTGTGGTCCACAGTCTTCCATGTAGCACAGTAGTGGTTTTTTTAAAATAGGGAAGGAACCATTCCTGGTCGTTGTATAACTCATTCCTTATAGAAGTTAATAACACAGAGGCATTCCATCAATGTTTAGATATGTGAGACTATTTACATGGTAACTATGAGGCTGTAAACTCATACACAAAGGGGCAATAAAGGGGGGGAGCCTCTGTGTTGGACACACACTTTCTCTCTCACCTCTTTTCCCTGACCTCAACACCCTCCCGCTCTTCTGGTTAATGTTCAACAGGGAAGATTTCTACTTCCAGTAAACAACTCTTTATCTGTGATCTTTGGCCTGCTTTCTAGGCTGGTATTTGTAACTGAGCAAAGACCTTTGGAGGTTTGGCACTTGGCAGCAGATTCCTACTGGCCTCCTGGAGAGCTGTGTAGAATGCTTGTCAACAGTTAAAGTGCAGCAAACATGGTTTCAGCATTTGTGGAAGGTGACTTGCTGGCTTTCGCAAGCAGTCTACAATCCTCTACAAGCAGAGGATTGACTGACTTGCGGTACAATAAAAGCAGAGTATGTTGCACAACAAGTACAAAGGCATTTTGCTGCAAAATGTATAGGCAAGGTCACTTAAGGACTTCCCAGATCGGAGAAAAAATGTGAGATAGCAGAGATGTGACATGCATTGCATGGCTTCAACTGACACTTCATCACCCACTAAAAAAAAAAACACCCTGGTCTTGCTGCTGTGGGATTTATTTATATTTTTTTAAAAATTAAAAATAGCCAATCCTGACTATGCAGGATTTCTAGACTGATAGCTACAGTAGTGTGTTTTTCTTTTAAAAAAACCCCTGAAGGTGCTCCCTGCATATGCAAGATGTGCTTTAAATTCTCCCCATCCAAATGTTCAAGTATGTATTAGCTCAGGGATTGGATTTCGTGCAAAAGCTGCTCAGTGCAGAAATGCGAGTACCTAGACCTAGACAAGTTCACCAATTGCTGCCTTGAACATCTCAAACTGCTTTCCATGTCTGATAACAGGAAAACTGTGGCATTACCACTGATCAGAGATGGTCCCTGGGTAAGATCCAGCAGAATTCCCTTCTCATAACTGATGGGCCCTAAAAGTAGCAAGTTGGCATGAAGTCTTCTGTAGTAGGAGCTTCATTCTTCTGTTTTTGCATCATCACTGCAATATATGACAGCATCTATTCACATGTGATGTGTAGTGCATTCAAGTAATTTAGAAAGATGAGGGTAGCATCACACTCTTCCCTTTGACTTGCTCCAGGAACCAGAGATGAGGGGTTCTTCCACGCTGGAACTACTTTGGGGTGGGATTCAGTTACATACCAGAAAAGTCAGATTGGGCAATTAAAGTTGATGTGGCAGTCTTGTGCAACAAACTCGTTTCTCCCTCACAAAATTTTTGCATTGCACTGAGGTATTAACTCTTGGACGAAGGAAATGGATTGTCATCCATAAATAGAAGTCTTACATGTAGGCTTGTTTGGAGATTGTGGGATTGACTTTTTAAATGTGAACTGCCTGGGGGATCCAATTGGAAGGTGGTAGGAATAATCATTGGAGGATGGTGCTTGTGGCACACAAGCAAAGGCGGCTGTTGGAAAATACACACCTCTAAATTCCTAGAGTGCACTTTCAGGGATGGGGGGGTGCAAGCAACCCCAAGCTGTTATTCAGGGATAATAATAAATTTCTTATATCCTGTCCATCTGACTGGGTTGCCTCAGCCACTCTGGGTGGCTTCCAACAAAAATACAGAAGGAGTGGAGAAGGAACCAGCTTTGTCTTTAAAGCTGCATTTCTTTTTACCGTCCTTTTCGCCACTGGGAGGAATGTTTTCATGTGCTTGTAAACATTCTTATATTTAAACTTTTTTCCTAAGAACAAGCATTGTGGGTTTGTTTGGTTTTTTTTGTCCCATTAGTGCATGCTTCAGTCATGTTTCATGAAACCTGTGTGTTCTCCTGGAACTTACCACCCCGTGTCTAGTTCTATGCTACCCTTGAGCTTTTTCTCAAAGAAAACGTGGGATTTTTAGGCAGGATCATAGAAGTGTAGAGTTGGAAAGGGCCAAGGTTATCAATCCCAGTCCCGCTATGCAGAAATCTTTTGCACAATGTGGGTCTTGAACCCACGACTCTGAAATTAAGAGTCTCATGTCAGACCAACTGAGCTATCCAGCTGAATCCAGCCAGTTGGTGAAAGGCAGCCTTGTTAAATGCTTTCCCCTGGTGGCAGCGAAAGGCCTAACAGGCAGGGTGAGCAAGCAGAGGGGTGTGCCCAGCATGCACCTGCGGTACCATGACAACTTCCTTGATGCAACTTGCTGAGCACAGAGCAGCTTCACATAAGAAACAACCGTCTACCAGAAACTAGTTTGAACCTCTTTGACCATCCCACTGCTGTGTCTGCTCCTCCCTACCTGCTTCTCCCACACCCACAAAAAATCAGTGGGGCCTTTTGTGGGGAGGAACAGAAGAAACTGCTTAGAGGCCTGCATCTCTGAGAACTGGGGTTAGACACCATTTTAGTTTACTGGCAAGGCTATTTTAAATTAATTGCATTTTAAAACAACTTTCCAACGTTCAGTATATAGAGGTCCAGGTGTTCCTGAAGCCTGAGTGCATGGTCTGAAACATGCTAGGTGGGGGTAGGGGTGGCAGCAGTAACCCATTTTTTTCTGATTAAGTAGCATCCTGGTGAGACACCTGTGTCATTAAATGCTTGTCTCCCCAGTAGAAATTCAACTAGTAAGGTGTTTCCTGGCATGCTGGTGCAGCGGTAAGTTGCACCAGAGGAATTTCCACATGTGTTGCGAAGTTTCAAAAGGTACAGAAGACCTGCCCAGGGCAGGATCAAAAATAGATAACAGCAATTTGTATTGCTAATATTCTCCATCCTGTGGCCTGAGGAGGAGCAGGCTTGGAGACTGACTGATAACTCTGAAGATGTTTGGCCCCAGGCACGAGTTGCTGTGCTGGAGAGGGAGGGAGATTTTCCTCTGAAGAAATATTAGCAGGCCACATAATAGGCTGCATGGGTACCTGGCTTATATTTTATGAATTTCAACAATGCAGCACTCAATAGAAAGGTTTTGCTCATTGCACTGTAATGTTGGTAAACTCTCACCAGAAGCTAGAAATAACGAAGGCTTACTCACTTTATAAAGGAAAGGCTTTTTTATTTTTCTGTTTGTGATGATTACAAACTCATCTAAAAAAGCAAAAATGACTTTTAAAATATCAATATACATTTTCTTTATCTAAAAAGCAAAACAGATAAAACTGCAAAATACAAACATTTACGGTATACACAAATAAAACCTAATTTTTTTTCTGGGTTGAAGTACACTCCAAATTCTTATTCCTATACAAATATTCCTTTCTGGAACAATAAGAATGACAAACGACAACAGGTTTAAAATGTCTTCTTAAAAAATTATTCTCAAAAATTATTTTTTAAAAGGAGGAGAGTCTGGTGTCCTCTCCAATCCACGTGGCTACTCCAGACAGATGGTAGTCACAAGTGTGAATTCAAATAATAATTCCAAAATGCTCACCACTGTTTTCAGTAGACTAAAGAGGCTGTCATGTCTTATTTTTATAACTGTAGAGCCCCTGGAGATGCATTCCTTTCAAAACCGCTACAGCACAATACAGCAACAACACAAACAATGTTCTATTACAACAGTGAATGTATCAGAGCACTGCACTGACTGCCTCGAGGGGAGGTGGGAAGAGACATTCATGAACAGCCTCAGACTGTCCTTTGCTTCCTGCCATCTAACCTTGTCCTTCCTTAAAATAAGTCACACGCTCACATACACACAGACAAGCATTGCCCTTCTGCAGCTGATGGTTAGCCATTTGGCAGCTCATCTGTTACCCTGTCCTTCCAGAGAGTTTTTCAACTCAGTTGCCTGGCCGCCCATAGGAAGGGGTTGGCTTCCAGCCTTAGGCCAACTGGCTTGCGCAATGCGTAGGGCTCAGCAAACGCATCTGAGCTAGAAAACTCCTTCCGGCCCCAACCCTAACTTAACAATATTCCAGCTGCAATCCTAAGAATATTTATAGGAAAATGAGCTCCCTTGAACATTTTGAAGAGCAGGCTGCGTGTCTGCGTTCATCTTTGAGCCAGCCGGCTACTAAGTAGATATCAGTTAAGTGGATTGCAAAACTTGAAAATATCTTTTTGTGTTTAAAAAAAAAAGGAAATAAGGGGTTAGTTTTCTTTTAGCACATTTTACTTCTCTTCCCCCCATAAAAATTAAACTGAACTTATCATGGGAATTTTCAGATCTAGTTCCATAGCTAGTATTAGTGCTGTCAGTGGAATTCCTAAGGCTATCGTTTAAAAATAAGCTACCACGTTTTATTTCCTGACAAAGGAATGCACATCTTATCATTTTTGCCCACCCCTCCAGCCTTCCATAAAGTACTAACAGGCAACCAACAGCTTAATCCACAACTTGTTCATGCTGTAGGACTGGGACTTCTATGGATTTAGTACCATAGAAGACAACGAGGCAGAATTGGCTTAAATCAAAATACTTTGGCTTAACTGAATTGCAGACTAGGCTGTCAGCAGATACTTTTAGAGATTTAGATAGAGACAGGTGGAATACACAGCTCCTTTCCAGAAGGAACTAGGAAACCAACATGTGGTCTAAAATTACATTCTTCCTGCCAAGCGTTTAGCACAATTAGGACTCCCACTCTAAATTTAAGCAAACCAATGTGAAACTGTAGAGCTTGAATCTGGATGATTTCCAAGCTTCCTTGTCCATTTTCAATATTCTTTAATCATACATTGGAAGGAGGTTTCGAATTCTAACCATGGCTGAGATTGAGCTCTGGACAAAAGTGGTACAGTTCAGAGACTGGCATCTGAACATTTGGTCAATTGTGTGCAGAAAGCTGGGTTGTGCTCCTGGATTTCAACTTGGATTTGGGTTCCAACCTGCCTCCAGTCCCAAACAGATGGCATCCAAGTTTGGGTTCATCATTCCATATGATAAAACAATTTTTTCCTTTAGTGTACAGTTGTTGCAAAAAAATCAAACACTGCAAGGTAGTTCAGAACATCACTACCTTTTCCCATACAGGAAAGAACCAAGTTTTTATTCTGCACTGATCACTATTAAAAGAAAAATAATGAAGAACCATTGTGCCTCAGTGGAGATGTGATTGTTCCTTTAAAATCGTATTTGAGCTTTTGTTCAGCACAGTTTCACCAGTCAATATGATTTACTCAATACAGCATGGAAATCACCTTCAGTTTATAACAGGCTAGCAACTACAGACTTCTGAAAAATGCTACAGAGGAAAGGTGTTTTTTTAAACTAAATGCTTTGAGTTCAGGTCCTCTCAAGCAAAGAAAGCTGTGCAAAGCTTACAACTGTCTAGTGTCCTACTGGCTGATGGATAGAGAGGCAATAATGGCTGAGGGTTGTACCCAATGGTGTCCCTCTGTAGATGGAAGTCTCTTTGATCCACTGAAGGTTTACACATACAGAAACAGGAGGACAAGCAGGGAGAAGATGCAATTGCTGCTGATTCTCCGTTCCCTCTGCAGTCCCCTAAATCTGATCCAGAGATTTGGGGAGTCCTTTGGTAGTGCGGTAGTGCAGGGCAATACAGGAGTAAGAGGGGACTTTCAAAAAACAACCTTTCGCTTTCCACCATGGAAGCCACCACTAGACAAAGCAGCCTTTTGCCAGTCAGGAGAGGCACAACTGGATACAACCTTGAAACACTTCTTGCCTCTTTGAAATTGTTTCCTGGTGGCATTTGGAAGTGGAGACCTGCTATGTATATTACTCAGAAGCATGCCCCATTGCACATGATGGTGCTTAACCTCTAAGTAAACATGGGTTAAGGTCACACCATAAATGAAAAATTACATTACTCTTTAAGGCTTAAAGCAAAGCACAGTAATTTCTGTTGCCATAGCAGCACACACCTTATCGTTGCACAAATTAGCTGCAAGTTTCCTTCCATCAGCCTTGACTGCTCACCTATCGTCCAGCCATTCCTCTTCCCTCTGCCTCCCTAGGCCTGCCTCAGCAGCTGCCCAGCCCAGCTGTTGCTGCTTAAATAACAAAACACCCAGGTTTTTGGTTGCTCAAAACATCCATGCTCTGATTCTGATGCTTATTCTGCCTTGTGGATTCAATCTAACCAGAACCACATACATAGTTTTGAAGCAAAGTGTAAATAATGAGAATTAACTCCATTTCCCCCTCCCTAATTTACAGTATGTATAAATATTTTGTAAATGTGTACTTCTGGTTATATTGTTATTAACTGATACCTCTCAACGAGATTGTGACTAATGATGAATTAATGCTGAAAGTTTGGAAGATGTGTCCTTCTCTTAAACAAAAGTTACCAGACAACTCTGGAAACTGCTTTGGTCAGAACCAGATCTGCAACTGCTGGCTGCAGGTGTCTTGAACGTCCAAGTGATCTGTAACTGGACATTTCTGGAATTCATCCAAATCAAGAACACTGTTTCAAGAACATGTCCCTTTTCCAAACCCACAAAGCATTCAAGGTATGCTCTCATTCTCTCCCCACTTTTTTTTTTTTTGAAATGCAATCACTTATGTGAACAAACATTTATGCTATTCCGCCCTCCCTCCCCCATCTCCCAGTTCACCAACAGTTAGTCACAATACTGAATATTTAACTTCTTAGTTACAAAATAACAGATAAAATAGGCCACAAAGTTCTACAAAGTAAATTAGAAAAAAACCAGTCTTTCTTTTTTTCAATCATAAATAAGTAGAAAATACAAACAGTTGTTTACAATGTCCCCCCTAACCCTGCCCCCACTCCCACCCCATGCCCTTTAATTTGGCAGAATCTACTGTTGACATTCAGATTTACCACATTCGATTATTCAGAGATTTTGCGGTGTGAAAATGTGCTCCTTGGAACAGAAAACCTAGGGATGACAGGCTGTGTTAAACTTGATTGAGGCTTTGCTCACCCCCACCCGCTCCCAATTACACTAACTAGCTAGCATAACTTTTTAAGGTCACTGTGTATATGCCTATAAAACCCTTTCACCCTCAACATGGAAGCTACTGATTCAAATGGCACAGCTTAACCTCAAAATGGGTGGGTACTTGTCTTCCCTAGCTGGAACTCTAAAAGCGCAGGACTGATTCTTTCTGGTTTTGTTCTGGAAATTCATCCTCCCACAATATGTGCTTAGAGTATCCCCTGGTTGATTATATTTGCACTGGGATCATCAGCTGCTTTGGAAAGCCTGAACTCATTTATTTACTTGCTTATCAAAATATACACTGCACCGTATTTAGGTCAATGTGCACCAGGGAGAGTCAAGGGAATTCAGTTAAGATCTGCTTCTGGCCTAACTCGTTGCTTCCCAATAGCATGAAAAGAGACAATACAAGTCTGACCTGTGCTTATTAAATTGGAGTCCTACTTTGGCTAGCAATGAGGCTTGGATGAGAGAGGTCAGCTTTCCCTTGGCTGCCTTAGCCCTCCAGGTTAAGCTTTTCAGCTGGTAGGGGCTAGGATTTGAGAATGATGCTATCATGTCATCGCATATTATGGAAGTGTTTGGCTTAAGGCTCTTCCAGTAGGATGGTCACTGGAAAAAGAAAGCCCTGACCCTGGCCACCTGTGTGTACTCAAAGTTCAGTTCCCTCACATAAAAATAAATTTGAGACTCTTACCTTAAAAAAAAAAAAGTCAGCTATACAAGAAACTTGAAATAACTGTGCTTTGGTCCTTTTTTATTTAAAGTTGTTTCCATTTCATATAAAACCTGACATGACTTAGCAAGCATTTGTAAAACCAATACGCTGTGGCCAATGAGAGCATGGGACACACGCAGACATTTTCTTAGGTTTTCTTTTTTCTTTAAAAAAAATGTTATTAGGAATGTTTTTAAATACTGGCTAGGTTCCAGTTTAAACTACAGTATCTGTCACTGACAGACTAAACTGGCTACAGGTACTCAGGTAAAGGCTTTGCTGCCATTTCTGGCTTACAATCCTGCCCATATTGCATTTAGTGCCAATACTCACTTAAAAGGGGGCACCACCTCCCCCAAGATCAATGCCCATATGGGAGGGTCTAAGAGCCTTTATCCAACACCATCTTATTACCTTCCATAAGAACCAGGGCTTGGTCAAAACTGAGGTGAGATTTCCAGAAGCAAATCCTTATTCCTGAGGTAAGTGGGAAAGTTCTGTACGCTTAGTTCACTGATGAAAAATCTTGTTCAGATGTTTCATGCCTCATCCAAACTAAAATGCCTTTGTAGCTCATTTCATCTTCTTGTGCTTCCTTATCTCCATACGATACAAATGATGACTCTACTTAAATGCCTGTGAGGATCAGGATCTAAGTCTGCCTCCTGCATCTCCTTCTTTCTCTCTCTCTCTCTCACTCAGCTGCATGTCCTGAATAGTCCTGCGCTGCAGTAGCTTCCTCAGCAGTGGGTCTAGAGGTCCATTTCAGGTTTTATAGTGACCGATATGCTACTACGCTGCTTTGAATGATACAGGCCCAACACTCCTTTCTGTGAACTAGAAATGATAAATTTTGGCAAGTTTGGGGTTTCAAAAATGCTTCAGAATTGCACAGCGCTTTTGCAGCATCCTTGCAAATGCTGCACTTCTATACGTGCTCTTTGACAGCAAGCTACCTTTCTAAGAAAATTCAAGTCAAAGCCAGTTCATTTCTCGAGTACGGCCTGCGGAAGACGGGCCACTCCCCACATCACTTTGCTTCAGTCCACTCCGCCGACCTGTTAAGTTACTCTCGTGTCTCAAAAAGCAAACCAAGAAGGGATCTAGGACACAAGGCGGCTTCTCAGAGAAACCCTTCTATACCAACAATAGTAGTAGAGCAACACAAAGGTCTGCATGTCTTTCTCAGAAGTCTACATATAAACTCTGCCTGTGTTGGGATATTAGACACAGAACTGGCTTAGGGAAGACGGGACTCATGGGATGTAGAAAGTGGCCCTGAGAGGGTACTGCCTGGCAAAATGCCACCCAAGCAGGAATGACCTTGCCACCCTCTTGCAGGCTTTTCGCACAGAAACCGTACTCGGGAGATGGCTGCTGCGTGGATTGTTCCCTTGGTTCCCAACTGCTCCCAATTCCCACCCCATATTGCAGCTTTTCCAATTACAAGCACACAAATATATATCTACAATCTCTCTATATTTTACATGGACCACAATAAGCATAAAAGCATGTACCCTTTCCTGCTTTAATTCTCCCCACTTGAACCAGAGGAAGATAGTGCCACACCTTTGAAAACCAGTTTCTTAAAACAACATAAGCATTAAAAAAGCAAATGCCTCCAGTGAGATATTCACTTTCTTAAGTTTTGGTTTTACCCTGTTCGCAACCACACCAGCACCTAAAGAAATTTGAAACGTGTATATGCATATATTTATATATGTTGTGTGTTGGCATAATCCTATATATGTTTACTCAGAAGTAAGTCCCACTGTGTTCAATGGGGCATAATCCCAAGAAAATGTGCATAGGATTGCAGCCCATGTATATATTGCTGGCAAGAAAATCAACTCAAGTGGTAAAGTGGTATCATGAATAGGCGTTAGATAGATATGTTGTGTGGAGAGAGAGAAAATTAGTAAATTCCTGCAGTGTGCCTAATTTGATATGAAAGCTCTGCCTCTAAATAGAGCGAGAGGCATCCACTGTGATTTACTTTACAAAATATTAAAAAATAAAAACTGAACACACAAAAAATAACTTTCTCTGTGAGAAATAAAAATAAATCCTAGTGCAAATATAAAGCTCTGTAAACCTGGTCCTATGAGAGATTCTATGGTTAGTAAACGGCAGTTTTAAAGCAGGCGTCTTCCTCTCATAGAGAGAGCTCACATCATTGTCTCCACGATGATATGAGTTGGCTTGATCAGTTCTCCATTGGCCATTCCAGGAGGGCAGAAGGGGGCAGCGCTCTCTGTTTCTTTCTCCCACCGAGTTATCTCACGAGGGGCAGCCACTGCCTTCACCCTCTGGAAAGAGAGAAAGGGAAACATAGTATTTGAAAAGGCTTCCAGATCCTTATGGAGTGAAAAAGCCTAACTTTACAGATACATGAATGTTGGCAGAGTTCAATGTAAGGCTAAGTAGGATGCATGTGTGCACAGAATGGGGTGTGCTCGAGATTTTCCCTCCTTTCCTTATAAGAACATAAGCAAAGCCCAACCAGATGCCCCCTAAACCTGTTCTGGGGGCTTCCCCAATGCTCCAGAGCAGATTGGGAGGGAAGGGCACGTGGGAAGAGGAGATAGAAGCACAATTACATGAGTGGACCTTGTTCTATGCACACAATTTAGTGGAATCCAAACGTGTATGACTGAACTGGCAGTGATGACCAGGGAAAAAAAAATCACCGGCAGGGACGGGGGGTGTGTGTGGAGAGGTTATGGTAGATATGCATCAACTCAGCCTGCAGCAGCTGTAGAAAAAAACTGAGTATCATACTAGGAATTGTTAGGAAAAGGGCTGAAAATAAAACTGCCAGTATTATAATACCAATACCTATGATGTAGCACACTTGAAACAGCACACTGGGTCATATTCAGCAAACCCATTGCACCAGCAGAAGCTAGTACAAGGATTCCCACATTAATTCCTTCCTCCTCCTGTGCTGTTCCCAAAACAGCTCTGGAGGGTTGGGGCAACCCCCAGAAAAGATCGGGGAAGGCACAAGGGAAGAAGGTCCCATCATGCAGGAAAATCCTTGTGCTGACAGCACCTTATCAGTAGCACTGCAATGAACACAAGCCAATGCCAACAGTTCTGGTTGCTGCATCTCAAAAAAGGGGGGGCAGGAGGAATATTGTAGAGCAGGAAAGGGTATAGAAAAGGACAGGTCCCCTATGAGGAAAGATCAGAACACCTGGGGTTTTCTGGTTTAGAAAAAAAGGTCAGAGAAGACATGACAGCATTGTGTAAAATGATGCATAGTGTGGAAAAAGAGGAGAGACTTATCTCTTTCACTCTCTCACACTCACTCACTCACTCACTCACTCACTCAGAGTCATCCAAGAGAGCTTAATGGGTAGCCTGTTTTCAAATATTGTATTTTAAATGGATGTAACCTGTCCTGGAACCTTATGGTGAAGGGTAATTAATAAACTGAATAGATTTGGCACAAAGGAGATGGAGTATTTCTTCATACAGCACGTTGCTAAGTGAGGGAATTGGCTGCTGCAAAATGTCAGCGGCACAGTGGCTGTCACCTTAGATGGCTTTTAAAAGGGATTAGACCAACTGATGGAAGGTAGGGCTATCAGTGGCTACCCATCACGATGCCTGTATGCTTCCTCGGGATCAGAGACACCATGCTTCTGAGTTATTCAAGTCACTAGTGAACAAATGAAAGAGGGCGCTGCTTGTGGGTTTCCTGCAAGGATCTGACTTGGGGGTGTGTGTGTTGAAATACACATGCCTTTGGTATGATTTGGCAGGGCTGCTCTTATGTAGTCACAGTTCAAATGGCAAAAAAATGTTGGTTCATGACCATGAAGTGGATTTAGTTTGAACGTCCAAGCCAGTGCTTATGAGACAAGATGAGATCAGAAAACTGATTTTGTTACTGGGAGAAAGTGTGATAATGCAAAGAACAAGAAGGCAACACAGAAGAAAGGTTTGGGGGAAAGCTGGTGTGAGTAATATGCAGTGAGCATCACTTGGACCTGAGGTACTGATAAGTTACTGCTTCCACTAGGTGGCTCTCTTAACTCAGTAGTGCAGCTGATGCAGGCTAGATCCTTCCACACAGCACACTATGTAGCTAGGATGCCCATCTATGGTGCGGCACCCAGAAGGGAGGCTGCACACTCAACATGTGGATCCCACAGGTGGATCTTAATGTCTTTACTAGGGCTCTTGTCAAAGTACAATCATCAAAAGCTAGGCTGACTTGTCTGAGATTCCAGTATAGCAACTAAGCAGAGGACTGCTACTCAAGCAACTCTTATAATCTGGCAAAATAGTAATAGCGCAAAATAGATGAGTCCTGGATTTATTTAAAAAGGATAAATATTTGAAGCTTGCCCCTTTACAAATATATGCAAATAGAAGTCCTATACTGGGGGGAAAGCCTGCTATATGTTGCATAACACAATGAAGGAATTAGTAAGTTAACTGTATTGATGCCTGATTGTAAACTATTTATTAGAATGAATATATTTGAGTGTTGTTATTTAAAATACATGTTGTTTAAAAACTGATAATTAATTAAAAAATCTATTAATAAAAAGGTCTATATTATTGCCTGGTTACTGTTTCTGTGCATTTGATTATTACAGTACCAAATGCTTGCACACTTCCTATGTGCTAGAGTCTGGGCATTTTATACCTGGGTATCTCCACTCCAGTAAGTACTATTGCAAAGAAGTCACTTTGAGAAATGGTGTGAGAGGCAAGCAGAGGGCCCCCATTTGGATAATGCTTAGACTATTGGTCTTCTTTAACTAGATGATCATGACCACTACTGGCGTGCAACAGCAGCACTACCAACATACAAATGTAAGATTGAAAAAATTAGAAAGCGTGTCTTCAAATGGATGTTTGGGCTAAATAAGGTCCCAAGTTGGAAAAGGTTGGAAATTACTGTACTGGCTTAGAGGAATCAACTTGGATAGAGAGGGCTTTGTGGTTTGTAAATGGACACCAGTTCTTTTAGCAAATATTACAATCCCATGCATTTGTAACTTCACTCTGTACTGGCCGCGTTCCAGCTGTCCAGAAGCTAAAATTATTGAGCACCTGTATTCTTTTCCAGAATGTAAATATGACTAAAACAACAGGCATCTTATTTAACTCTGCTATGCCCTGTTTTAAGCATTGTGAATGCTCCAAAATAACAGGGCCTGTAAAATTGCCCTATCCATTAAATGAATGACCAGGAAAAACTTTTGTAGATGTAGAAATGATGTATGTGCACTGGAAATAGCCTGGATCCTGCAGCAAAGCACTGGAGTTGAGGCTGGGAAGGCAGTTGCAGAGAAAAAAGCCTGTGAGGGCCAGTGTGCATTCTCATGTGCTTTCAGGTTGTTGACTTACCTCAATGAGAGAGCCATCGGACTGTAGAATACGGATAAGCATTACAAGCGGGATGCAGACCATAGAAGAGAGGGCAAGAATCCACCCCAGGCCAATGGCCCACTGAGGATATATGTACACCTTGTTGTAGGTCAGTGGTGTATACTTGGCCAGAGAAAAGATAAAGCACCCCTGCATTAGGAAAAGAAACAAAACAAAACAGACAGGATGAAGATTTGTTGTATGCACCTTTCTGCTACTGACACTAGTAGCTGCATGAATTTACAGTATCCAATGAATGTACAGTCTATAGAAAAAAACACGAGCTTGACAATAGATAAGCTTGACAAAAGTTGAGCTTCTGCTGTAGTTTTTGCTGTTGTTATTTGCTTTCATGCCTAACTCTGCACATGCCTAAGTTGTGTTTACAAGAAGCTGTGGAGTGGGAGAAAAATGACATTTTAAAAGCTTTCTCCACTTCCTTTTTGGAACTTGAGATTCAGAAAACAACATCTACCTCATTCCTTCCTTTCCATTAAGTACACCCCCTTAGTGCTTCCTCTGCCCCTGGAATCACACTGCTAGAGATTATGGTAATAATTGGTAATAGCAGGGGTAGGGGATGCCATATTTGTTCTGCATCCTTTCCCCATTCAGTAAGAGTCTTGTTTTGTTGTATATTCTGTGCAACCAAAGTGAAAAGGTGTAGCATGCTGCACACCAGGAGCAGCTGATGGGGTGCACACCAAGCCTTCTGGCAGCTGTGTAATGATGGGGTGAGGAAAAGAGGCGACAGGGAAATAAGCCCTATGTACAGACACACCACTGGGAGTGCTGGCTACTCCTGTGCTTCACTACTATACACCAAAAAGAACAAGAAGGCTTTGATGTATTCATCGTAGCACTGCCCTACTTCTTTTCACTTGACATGAATGCTTCCACCTTTTAGGCTTTGTGTAATATGCAGTGCAATCTTGTTCATGTTTACTCAGAAGCAGATCTTGCTGTGTTCAGTGGGACTTTCTTCTTGGTAAGCCTGCAGAGTAAGCCATCTCAAAATACTAGTATTATAGATCCACTTCTCTCTCACGCTTCCTGTGTGCTAAAGTATACAAAGTTTAACTGAAATAGCTTGAGGAACCATCTAATGGCAACGGCCCATCACATTCCAATGCCTTCAAACAATGCTTGATTACTGTTCTGCTTACTGCATGTTTATTTATAGAATTTATAGCCTGCCTTTTGCTGCAAATGCCCTCAAGGCAGCTTACAAAACTGAAAGCAGCAAAAATGCAGCTCTACGCAGCCACCAGTAAGATAAAAACCCTTCCACAGGCCACTTTGACAGCTGAGTAGGACAGCCAGGTGACTGGAAGTTCAAGTAGGGACTGCAAAAAGAGGCACTAGAAGCACACTCTAAGGGTGTTCATGCTTCTTTTTTCGCAGCTCCAGCTTCAACTTTCACGTTCTGAATTCAAGCAGTGACTGCAAAAGAAGATTCAGGAGTGTGCTTAAGAGTGCACTCCTTATTCTTCCTTTGCAATAGGATGGACTTTGCCTAGAGAAAAAAAGGTAATTAATAGAGTGCCAGGCAAACAGGCACATAGCTTGGGGGTTCTTCTGGATTCACTGTTGTTGCTTAAGGCTCAGAAGGCTTCAGTGGCAGGGGGTGCCTTCCACCCTGTGATCCTCCAATGAAGGGCGGTACAGAAATTATTATTATTATTATTATTGATGATGATGATATCTGGGATGAAAATTTCATCATTTGGGCACCCTATGAATACATTAAAAGTCATTTCTGTTAGCTGCAGCAGAGTGGTCCACAGGAAAGCCTCTGAAAAAGATCTTAATTGGTAGGCAGGTTCACGTGGGAGAAAGATGTTCTTTTAGGTTCCCCAGCTGATGGCTTTAAATGCAAAAGTCCAGCAGTTTTATGTGGGCATGGGAAAAAATGGAATGCCAGTGGAGATGTTTTAACATGGGAGCAATTCCTTTACACATTATACATTTTTAACTCAGTATCTTAACTCATGAAGCTACTGTTGGAGAAGATGAGGAGTAAAATAATAAAGCAACAAAGTCTACTACAGACGCAAAACCATGTTTTAGACAAGCTGCTTCAAGCACTCACCACACAGAGAACTGGTGTGATTATAATCCAGCTCCACTTCATCCAGGGACCGGGCCTGTAACCAATCATATCTTCAATGGCATCGTAAAAATTATCAGCGCCTAGAGTTCGACAAAAGGGAAAGGGAATGTTACTGGCCTGGATGAGATGCCTGCTTTGGCTCTAACCTCATAATGGGAGCTATGCCACATTTTTTTAATTCTTTTGTATTAAATGCAAAATCAAATGTAGAACAAAACCATCACAAAAAAACAGGTACCAAAAGGGCGGGGGCAGAGATACCAGTAATACATTTCAAACCTTTATTATAATAGAAATTATAACAAGTTTCTAAAAATATCAACATGGATATCACTTAATTTCCAGGGGGATGAGCTGCAGATCCAGCAAACCATAGTTTTATTGCATTACCCACAGCCATTTGTCGGCTGGGAGTAATAGGACTAGGGAGACAGGCTATGTTTAACATAAACACTAACATCATACCAAACAGAAAGAAATTTGTTCTTTTTTGACCTTAGTAGGGATGATTCCCACACTTATGTGCACCAGAGTTTTGAAATAAAAAGTGAGTTTTCAAGAAGCCCGAAAAGAGTGCTGAAAAACCCACACCTTCTATCTTACACTTTCTTTGTGCCTGTTAAAACAGTGATTCTTCCCCAGTCTACTACTGGTCCAGGATTTTTTTTTCAGCTTTAAAAGTTAAACTTATTCTTTCTCCTTCACAATGGGATTCAACTAAAAAGACACCACATTGTAAAACTGATGGCGAGCCAGACCCATTCAAAGTTGGCTATGTAGTGCCGAAGGCAACGGAAGTTGCACCACCTTCCCTCTGAAGTTCCAGACCACTTCTAATGGTGTCAGCACAGGCACAGGCAACATTTGCACTCAGATGAACATGCAAAAGTCTATCTGGGCAGATGCTCCCTGTTGTGCTGCACTGCAGCACTTTCATTGCCACAGAGCAGCATAGCAAAAGGGAACATTGGTACGGGGGCCAAGCCCCATTAACTTTCCTCTCAATAAGCCCAGCCATGCCTTTTCAATTGCCCCCTGAAAATCTTGCTTTTGGAAAAGGGAGATACTTTTTGAAAATTCCCCAAACCAACCACCGCATCCAGCTTGATTCAGCCAATGTCTCTCACAATGTAATGTGTATTATAAACACTACTTCATTTTTCAAGGCTGGGACTCAGGCTCACTTCCTAAGAAAGCCAATATGTTGTTTCAATTGGGAAAGTGATTCTTAGCTTCACATTCACCAACTCTGTTCCCATATAGAAGGGACGTCCAACTCCCAATAGACTGCGATCTACTCACAGTATAAAAAAACTGGCAGTGATCTACCCATTGTCGTTGGATGGACCAAAGTTGTCGAGCTTTTTTGGGAAAAGCAAAGAAGTTGTTGTTTTTTTAATCTATTTTTATTAAAGATTTTCTTAGTTTACAAAAGTATGTGCAATGTCTCTCTCTCTTTTTTAACAGATCAGTTTCATGAAAGGCAAAGTTGTTGAGCTTTAAGCCACAGTTGTTCAGCTTCCTCCCCCCTTTTGGGGGGGGGAGAGGAGATCTCTGAGGGGCCAAAGATCTACCAGGAACACCCAGTGATCTTCCAGTAGATCATGATCTACCTGTTGGACATGCCTGCCATATAGCAACCTTTTTTCCCCCTGTCAAGGACTGCATCTCAGGAAGCAAAGTAAGAAAAATTATATTTGTCACTTAGACCCCTATTTTAGCTCGACCCCTATTTTAGCTCTGCCTCCCTCACAATCCCAACTCCTGGGATCCAGGAGCCTAATCTTCCAAGACCCTGCAATGTTTAGTTGTTCCTGTAGGAAAAATACCAGGCCAAATATTTACAACTTACCATAAACCCAGGCTACAGCAATGCATTCAAAGAATGCAACCCACAAAAGGCATACACCACTAGCTGCATAGTAGTCAAAGAGTTGAAACACATACATGCCACCCTGAAAAAAAGCAAGAGAGAAAAAGAAACAAGTGCTATTAATAAACCACAAAGAAAACCTGTGGCAAGTAAGATGACCTTCATCCCTATCCTTCACATCTATGACTCACTCTGGAGAAGATTACTCATCTGCAAATACAACTGTCAATCAACTGTTGGGGAGTTATAAGCACATGCTGTTGTCCTCCCCAGAACATGCACTTATTTCTTATATAGAAGGCATTTTTGAAAGAGATTGTGATTGACCAAAATTAAGCCATTTAGCTTATTCTACTCCAACACTGAGCTATTTCCTTTCTAAAGGATAGTATTTTAGGATGGGCTCTCACAAGAAAAATATGGTGGGAGAAAACAATTGGTGTTCAACGGAAATTGCTATAACAAGACCAAAATATAGGGAAGCAATGCTTACCAAGGAGCTCCCTCATATATGGGCTGACACTGCTTTTCCCTTGGCATGATATTTTCCTTTCATGCACTGTATTTCCCTCTGCTCCATTTTCTAGCACCTTCTATAAGGTTCTCTTGTAAAGGTAAAGGGACCCCTGACAGTTAAGTCCAGTCGCGGATGACTCTGGGGTTGTAGCGCTCATCTCGCTTTACTGGCTGAGGGAGCCGGCGTACAGCTTCCGGGTCATGAGGCCAGCATGACTAAGCCGCTTCTGGCAAACCAGAGCAGCGCACGGAAACGCAGTTTACCTTCCCGCCGGAGCGGTGCCTATTTATCTACTTGCACTTTGACGTGCTTTCAAAGCCCCAAATATAATGAGATAGGCTTCAACCTGCACCATTTCCCACATGTTTCACATCTATCTAGCTTTGTTTACTCCAGATCTACAGCACAACAGAGCACGCTATCTAGGTTCTTCTATAAGAATAAGCTTGGGGAAAATGCAGTGCTGGATAAAAGCAGCACTAATAATACACAGGGCTACAACTGGCATGGCCTTACATTGACACCACTGGAGAACTTAAGAGAAATGAAAGATTTGGATAAATCAGTTCTCAACTGTTCTTTCTGCTTTAAAAAACAATGACAACAGAGTAACCATTTTATAGAGCCAGGCTCCTCTCTTAGGTACCAAGGAATTTCCCCTATGCTCAGGCCAAACTATTTGTATATCCAGCCCAGTACTGTTAGCTCTGGCTGCTACCAGCTCTCTGAAGCTCTCAGAAGGAAAAGTTCTCCCAATTTTATTTTAACTGGAGATGCAGGAAATCAACCTGGCACCTTTTCACATGCAAAGCCTGTGCTCTGCCTTGAACTGTGATTGCTTCCCTCTTGCACTGTACTATTTGACTTCACAGAATGAAATCAAAACCCAAGCAAACCCACACCAGCTCATCTCACTTACTTCAGTCACCATAGATAGTCCCAGAAGATAGCTGACGAAACATATTATAGCGATGAAGATTTCCCGTCGGTAACCCTTCCTTAGGAAGGATGGGTACAGATCAACTAATGACGTGATCTGTCCTTCAACTTCAACAAACTGGCGGAGAAGGAAAGAAAAAAGAACCCTGAACAACTGCCATGAATGTGTTCCATTCTTTCATAAAAGGCATGCCTTGGAAACAGTGCTGGCACTCTCACTGGAGAAGCTGAATCCATTTACTTGCTCAACCTTTCAACAAGTCAAGGTTACAGCCTGTGAGTGGTGTCCAGCTGGGGTTTTGCACATAGAATGTCCTCCTCCCGAGTATTTAAAAATAAGTCCCTATCTTCTTCTTTCAGTTTGTTATGCATGGGAATATAAGCAATTTTCTTTACACACATAACACATCATATTTGTTTCTGCTAACGAGCAACAGCTGCACTAGTACTGTGCTCTGTAAGGCTAACTCACAAGCTAATGTATTAAAATCTTTCTTTAACCCAGGGCCTTAAAATACAGTACTTCCAGAAGTTTTTTTTTCTTCTGTTGCAATACAACTATAGTCTAGCTTGCTTCTAAGCTATTCTAGCATTCCAAAATCCTGCCTGACAGCGCTCCAAAAGCAAACAAAACATTAAGTGCTCCAATTAGTTTTAATTATTCGACACAGTGAGAAATGACTTAAAATTACTAGGCAACCCTCAATTTACATAAGTACTTGGTTGCAGAACCACAGCACCAAGCATGTTTTAACATTCAATTTGGAAGTGATTAAAAGTCACTCACTGGAGTTCAAAGATTAAGCACTAAAGAGCCATTTAGAACAAATGGAATGCTTTGCCAATTTAAGAGATCAAGTGAGTAACAGCCAGAGGGAAAACTCCACTAATCGCTGCTCATATGAGAGGTTTTGAATTCAGTAAACTTTCTGCCCCTGTCAAGTAGATTTATTTAATGTTAAAGCTACTTTCCCAAAGAATAAATAGAACCTTGTTAGTTTAAATTCTTAAACCAACTCAATGAAGTACCCCCTAAATCCCTGGTACATCTGTGCAACTAGCAATAGCCTACAAATTATTAACAGATTTATTTGCGTCATATAAATAGGTCTCTTTGGGGAGGCGGGGCAGCCATCCATTTCCTCAAGGAATAACAACAGTACCAATGTGTACCACACATTTAGTCTAACTGTTTTAATAGAGAGCTTATCCATGGTTTCAGTTTTCAAGGGTGCTAAACTGTAAGAGACCTTATGAAAGGCAGGACATGCAAGGGTACTCAACCCCACATCCCAAGGATGGCTTTGTCCCTTTCTGATTTAGCTGAAAACTTCCTAAATAACTTAATTAGCCACTTCATACACTTCAAAACAGTGCATAGGCTAACACTGATTAACAGCGGTTATCCTTTCTCTGCTAGAGAATGAAGCAATCCTTTTCTGCAACATTTATGATGCATTTGCCCCAGAGCATAAAATGCAACGAACCCAATTACATTGTTAAATTTTCCATCATACAGTATGGATGCTGTGTTTGTTGCTATGGTTACTCACCTGGCTGTCCAGGCCAAGCAACAGAAGCATAATAAAAAAAAGAATAGCCCAAAAAGTTGGGAGTGGCATCATGGACACAGCTTTCGGATAGGCAATAAAGGCCAGGCCTGGACCTAAAGGAATAAAGGGAGAGAAAGAGGAGAAGATGTAGTAAGTAAGCAGCTCATTCTTAAAGGCAAGACCCCCTCTGCCTCTCCAGAACAGATGCTTGATTCGATTCAGATAAACCAAAACCCAACTGAAGATTCCAGAATGGAATTCACTTGGATCCTTTATCTGACAAAGAAGCATGCATTGCTAGAACAGGAACTCCAATGATCAAAAGCCAATATTTATCCACTTTCAGTCTCAGCATCTGCCTCAACATGCCAAGAATAGGTCAAACTCTACACGCATCATGCAGAAAGTGAATAAGATAGAAGATGAGCAGCTGGGCTTATGGTGTAAATGAGACATACTTATGGGATGACCGGTTCCTGTGCTCCTTTACGAACAGAGGAGGGGGGAAATGCCATACATGTTCTCTTTGTTTTCGCAACCCCCAGCCCCTCCTTGGACAAATAAAACCAACAAAAGATCCTTCAAGGGTTTGGGATTTGTGCTCCACAGGCCAGATTTGGAGCTGTTATACCCCTCCACAGTTCTATCAATGCCAACAAAAAGCATTTCTATACCACAACAAATGAAGTGGAAAAACTGATTTGACTATCTAAATAATCAATCCTCCGTCCCTTCCTCTGAAGGGGTTGGTAGCTGCATTGTGTTAATAGCTTACCCAATGTCTATAATGAATCAATTTGCTGCTATCAGTAGGCAGTATTCTTTTAAGATACAAAGCAATAGCTGCTGTTTTTTCATTCTGAAAACCTGCTGGCTGAAATAAGGCTAATGTCCCTCAACTAGTATTGTTAATAATCATTGGTAGATTATTCCATATTTGCACTGTGGATGAGCCACTCGAAGCCAAAACCAAGCTCATTTCCATGGCACGTGACAGTCATGCACTACAATGAGATGAGCTTTCAGTTTATATTGGTGACACTTATTCAGGTGCAATAAAGAATCATATAGGGATGAAAAAGCCAAAAAGCGCTATTGTTTATGTTTAACATATTTGGGTAGTTTTAAAGATGTCTGAAAATATTACATCAACACTTTTCATACAAGCTTTTGTTTAAAGAAAATACACTGGCATTCCAGTTTATAGCTCTACTTTGTTTTTCTTCTTCTTTTATCTGTTACAAAGTACAGCAGAAGAATTCTCTCCGCAGATTAGTCCTTGTCACTCACCACTGAATGCCTCTGCTACCTTCCATTTTCCATGCCATTAAACTGAATGGAAAGGCAGATCGGTGCAGCAAAATGAAAAAATGCTGGCACCCCAATCCTGAATCTATGGTCTTCACCTCAGAAAAGTTAGTTGAGCATGACCCACTAAAATCAAAGAGATTTAAGTTAGACGTGCCCTTGATTTCAATGGAAATTAAGTGCAGCCACTTATCTCTGAATTGGTGGCATTGGGGCAAATGCATATTTAAGGTTATGCTCATGATAAACATCTCTTGCTGGGTAAGGAACAAAATGTACAAATGGGTCTTATCCACATTATTCCCTCTTGTGAACCAACTGCTGGAACTGAATACATTATTTTAAAAAAATAAAAATTGCATCAGTCAGTTATTTAGGAAGGGAAATAGAACTGAATCCAGTTCCTCCACTTCCCCTTGAAAATATTTTAGCTTTTTTAAAAGAAAAAAAGGGGGGGAGAGACTATGCTCACCTCAAGCTGTTCTATGCATACAGAGCTAAAAAGTACTGGTTTCCTGGGCTCATCTCTCAATGGAGCTCACTATGGCCAACTATTGTATCTGCTCATAAAGTTACTTAGGCTGATCTCCTACCCACTTGTACTTGGAAGTAAGTCCGACTGAACTAAGTGAGTCTAAGTTAAGATCAGCCTTAGCCACTTTTTCATTTTAAAAAGTGCTGTGTAAGACTAAGGCATCAAACATTTAGATCTGATGGCTACAATCTTTCAACAGACTGACAAGCACATGCTTACTCATAAAACCTGCTGTGTTCAGTGTGGTTTGCTCTCAGATATGTGTGCATAGGATTGCAGCCTTAAGCATGCTTAAGATAATTGAAATCAACAGGGTTAAGCTCTGCATTGGGATGTTAACAGCCATTCCCAGCTCCCTCATTTTCCTGCCTGCCTGCCTTGAAGAACTAGCCTTGTTTGTTAAATAAAGAAAAATAAAATTTGAGGGAATATACCAATCTTCACTGGCATTCCTCACCACTATTAAAATGGCACTATAGGAAGAAAAACCAATCTATTTGACAATATGGCACGGCAAAATCACAGTACAAGTTTTCCCCACAGCACCCAAATGGGTGACCTTTGTCTGCTGCCTGAGGTGTGCATTAATATTAGGGTAGTCACAGCCTTTTAATGGCTTCACATCCAATGCCGATGCACATTTCTTGCCTTTTCAAGCTGTTTTGAACCTTGCCAAACCTGCACTCACAGAGAAAAATAAAATGTGTATAATGGATATGACCAGCAGAAACCTCTGGGGTTCTACAATACCCTTTTTACTAGCTAGTTGCAGAAATTGCTGCCAGCCAGTCTAAGTGCTATCGTTTTAAGTAAGTTCACATAGACTACAATGAAAAGAGCATTTGGTCTAGCACGTCTGGGCTTCGAAGGCATAGTTAATTTGAGTTGCTGTGCTTCCTCAGGTGTTACAAGGCAAGTCCAGAAAAGTATGCATGCTTTGTTCGAAAGTAAATGAGTTAAGGACATATTGTTCTTTTAATGCACATGTATCCCAGGGAAATATGTGTAGGAATCAATCCACTGTTTCCTGTATATGGAAGTGCTCTATGCACGAATGTAAAATATGTTGGGAGGGCAGGAAGGGTGCAAAAAGGGGGGCTCCTCTCTTTCTAGTTTCTATACAGCCTTGTCGTGGAAAACAATGGCCCTTCACTAAAATATACATGGTGCAATAAAACTCAAGGCATATCCTAGCACAGCTATAATCTCTTGAGGCCACTTGCTGTGGGTCTATGGAGCTTTCGGCGATCATATCTATTAGGAATTTGATTGAAGCAAATGGAGAGCGACCACAGAGGTTCATATATTTATAAACTGTTTGCATCTCGCATATTTTTAACTCTGTTCTGGGCATTTCTTTTAAACTCAATTCCATTTTATGTTTCTGCATGTTTTCAACTTATTTCGAACTGTCACACCCATTGAAATAAATTAAGACTTTGTCTCCTGAAATGCTGAGTAATTTTACTTTTCAAAATATCTCCTTTTGGGGGGAGGGGGAGAGGGGCTGTTGATTTGGTTTGTATTACTTTGCTCACACACTGGGTGGCAGTGCCCACCATCACTGCCACCGACACCATCGTACCTGACTCTGCCACATCAGCAATGTCCACCCCTTGCTCTTGTGCCATGAAGCCCAGGACGGAAAAAATTGCGAAGCCAGACACAAAACTGGTACCACTGTTCAGGCATCCCAGCAGCAAACAGTCCCTAAGTCACACATATGTCATGGAGGAAGTTAATTGGAGAAAAAAATTGAACCCATGGTTCCCTACACATCAATTAGCTAACATGTACTAAACCCCTTTGGTAGGAAACTTGCCTATAGCAGTTGTATTTGTATTTATTGTAGCTCCCCAAGGAAGTCATTGCACCTAAGCAGATTGCATAGGAGAAGAAGATTTGCGTCCCAGCATCTATCCAGACCTAAAGAAAACACGAAAAGGCCCATTAGAAGGCTGCATTTTGCACCAGCACCGGCCATTTATCTAAAGCTAATACAGACTATGCAACCCCCACAATGTGACAACAACAGACGTCTCTTTAAAATAATCCGCTCATAAATGCTAGCCATTGAATGCACCTACGCTGTTCAATACCACATCACAACATTTTGACATAAAAGTGAATAAAAACGCAATTAGTTCTTTTAAACAAAAACAACAGAGCATTACATATATACAGTCCCAGTTTTGAGCATCACCCGTTGTAGATCCCAGCAGACTTATATACACACAAGATACATTTCAAGATCAGTTCAGTGGTTTAAGGATCCCAGGCTTTTTGGTGGATAGCACTATGCTCCCTCCCAATACCTCTTAGGGTTTTTCTTGCTGTGGCCAATTATGTCTTCTAGTGCGCTCTGCTTAGGCCAGTGGTAGGGAACCTCACCAAATGGCTAAGGGCAAAACACTGCCCTCCAGCCCTCTCTGTCTACCCCCTAGAACTCTCTCAAGGCCATACCCACCACCAGCACTATTTCAGATCCCCCTTAAGGGTTTTCCCTTTGCTGGAATATGTCTTTGAACTATGACAATGCCTCTTGGTTTCCTGGATGGAGGATAGCAAGGGCTGTGTGTGTAGAAATGAGTCCCACTGTACAAAGGTAAAAATTGCATTTGTTGCTTCACCCACTTTTGCAACTGTCCCCTCCCACCGCTGGCATGTGTTCCCTGCCCCACAGAAGGCTGCCCAGGTGGGAATGTGACCCTTGGCCTGAAAGGGGATCCCCAGCCCTGGCTTAGGCTAACAGAGAACAGTTTAATGAATCAGAACAGGAAAGAAGCAGCAACCTCTCACATAACTTCAATGCTGCTATAAACAGTGTTCCAGATGAATTGTACTCAGTGGCATTTTCATCCAGCTTGTATCATAAGTTGCTTTTCATTCACTGCTCGTATCACAATTATTACCATAGTCTTATGTGCATTCCCCACCCCCACCCCACTTAAACAGTTTTGCATTTCCCCATTGCTATGGGGTAGAGCTTGTAGCTGACCAGATCATAAAATAAACTGTCACATAATTTGTAAGCAGTTGAAGATGGAGAAAAAAAAGAAAAGGAAGTGCTATACTCCTGCGCTTTACTAAGGGTGCTATCTTCCAAACATTTGCATAGAAGCAAGTTTCTACAAAGAATGTGAAAGGTATTCAGCATTTCCCATTTTATTTCACTGTCCTTAACTGCTTTCCCCCAAGGGCGTCCATATGACACGGACAGTTGCAAATACTCACAAGTGCTCCTTACCGTTCTGTTCGCTGCTCCATAATTTTGCTGCCTTTAAGAGCTAAAGACTGAAGCAAAAATTATCTCCCTTACCTTGTCCACAGCCTAATATCAACAAAAAAGCTGAGATGCTATATTTGGACAGAGTCTACAAGCCTCAGAATCCTTCTGATATAAAAAGATATACACACATGGAAAATGCATTAACACATTAACAATAATAACCTTTTTGACAAGATAGAAAGGAATAACACCATGGAGGTAATCTTCAATTAGGTTTTGACTGCTTCAAGATTACAAGAAAATCTATTGCACAATCATCCCTCTGCCCTCCTCACATTTTGTTTAGAGCATAGGAAGACAAGTATCACCACTTCCAGTTTTTAGTAACCCACCTGTGGATCTGCTAGCCGAGAGATGTCAGGGTAAAGATAAAACTTGATGCCCGTTGAAGCTCCAGGTAAAGTGACACCACGGATTAACAGTACAAGAAGCATGATGAATGGGAATGTTGCTGTTATGTACACAACCTGGTATTAAAAATGATAAATGTTATCACTTTTTGATAATAAAAAGCTAGAATTTTAATTGTATACGCCTGGTATTTGAGGTTACAAATGGTCTCATCTCTTATCTTCAATTCTTATCCTCCTGTTTGCTCTCAGCTTTCATTATTCAGTGGATCACAGCAGGTTCCCCTTAACTGCATGCGCATATATCCATCATGACAGAGAAAGTACATTATCGGACTTTAATGCTGACTTTAATACTGGTCACGTTTCTGTTTCCAGTTCCCCCAGGTCACCGCTATGTCAGGCGTGATCAACATGGTACTCTCCAACTACCATCATCTCTGACCATTGGGCTGTGCTGGTTGGACCACTAGTGAGACCGACAAGGCAACACACTTCATTCTCATTATACAGATGTCTACAGGTGGCATTCACCACAATAATGAAGACTGTAGTATTAAAATAAATAAATCACATATACAGCAGTGAAATTTGAGTACTGGAGGTGTTCCTTCCTTCCCTAGTACGCTCAATAGAACTTATGTATTTATAATATCATTAAACACTCTTCATCAGGAGATTCACTAAAGACTGGAACTGATGTGTGGCACCCCATGTAGATCACAACCACCCACCCAATAAAGAGCTGTTCCTTACTTATCATCTGAAGCGCCATAGCTCAATGGTGAACATTTTTTTGCCACAGAAGGTCCCAGATTCAACCCCCAGCACTTCCAGGTAGGACTGGGAGGGACCCCTACTTCAAATACTGGAGAGTTGCTGCCAGTCAGTGTTGTAAATACAGAACTACTGTATCAAAGGCACCTAACTTTGTTCCTATTGTATCCAGCACAGAAAAAGGATGAACCTGGGCATGATCAACTGAGAATGTCTTGTAACACAAACTGAATAAATAGAAGGTGATATATAAAATCAGTATGCACAAGAGATTACCCTAGCTGAATTGTACCCCTTGCTTACTTCTGAATGATTGTCCCAAAGTACATGTGTGCCTTCTGGAAATCTGCCTCAAACTTATGTTTATTTATTTATTTGGTTCCTTTCTTCTGCTAATAGGGTCAGATGATGCCACCCAGTAATTACAGCTCTGCTACTTTAATATAGTTTTGTTTTTGTGAAATTGGTTTAGCAAGATAAAAGCTCCTGAGATGCATCTTCCTGCCTTTTAAGTGAACCTCGAGAGATTTAACAGGCAGATATCAAAGCCTGTTGCACCATAATAATTTCTGCAGCCAGTCTGATCTCTAAATGCAACACCCTTCCATATCATGCCCTGCTTTTCTTTTGGTAAATTACATTTCTCTGTGTGTAATTTTTTCCTGAATTTTTCTTCCAAAAGTATTTTGTTTTGCTTTTAAATATAATCTTTGCCTTTGTTATTTCCCCTTCTTTTCTATATTAAACAAGTATTTGTAAGTAGGTTTTTTTTTTTTGTTCATCACAATTATCAACTTTAACTGTTACTATTACTACATTCATTAGTCACTTTTTCCCCACAAGTGACTCAAAGTGACTTAAAGAAACAAAACTCACCAGCTTTTTCACCCCAAGATTGTTTCTGAGAAATTATTTCAAACTAAGCCAACCTAGCATATTTTGCCAATGTGAATTAATTGTAAGAGAAATATTTTCAGCCAGAACAAACACTGAGCTATGCAAATTGCTTTTTGGATATTTTTTTTTTTAAAGAGGTTGGTTGGACATTCAAATTTATGTACTTTTTTCTTTTTACATATGTTTAAAATGAAAGGAGACCTGACTGCTATCTAATTATTATTGTTGGGCAAGGAATTATCTTCCAGAAGTACACTGTTGACAAATGTGGAAAATCAAAGAGGCCTGTTCATCAATTCAAAGACAAAGGAAAAAATCTAAGAATGTTCTACAGCTATGACCTTGGAGAAACAACTCAAAAACAGAAGCCAGATGTTATGAGAGTTTCTGAACTCACTCTGAGTTTTTCCCAAGTTTTCAGTGGGTCTAGCCAAAGAGTTCACAGAGGAAACAACGTAATAAATAAATGCATCCTCCATCCTTGGATAAACAAGGAATATGTTGAGGTGCAGTAATAAAACTTCTAGCATATTTGCAGGGCTTGGTATGGCTTCAGCCACGTTGTGAATCCTGCATTGCAGGGGTTGGACTAGATCATGGGCAGGCAAACTAAGGTCCGGGAGCCGGATGCGGCCCAATCGCCTTCTAAATCTGGCCCACGGACCGTCTGGGAATCAGTGTGTTTTTATATGAGTAGAATGTGTCCTTTTATTTAAAATGCATCTCTGGGTTATTTGTGGTGCATGCCTGGTGTTTTTACATGAGTAGAATGTGTGCTTTTATTAAAAATGCATATCTGGGTTATTTGTGGGGCATAGGAATTTGGTGATTTCCCCCCCAAAAAATATGGGCCGGCCCCCCACAAGGTCTAAGGGACAGTGGGCCGGCCCGCTGCTGAAAAAGTTTGCTGACCCCTGGACTAGATGACCCTCAAGGTCCCTTCCAACTCTGCAATTCTATGATTCTAGGAAAGGTTCAAAATAACATTGGGAACCTAGCCTTTGCTAAGAAGTCAATTCAATCATTTTAAGCCCAAGATGATGTGGAGAGTGTGTAAAACCACTGCATAAAACTAATTTCTGAACCTATTTAAACATTTTGGCTATAGTCCTAAAGTGTATGTGTGTAAAGAGAGTGGAATTCAAAGGCAGATTATGCTCTGCTGGTATTGAACAGAAGTTAAGGCAGAGTAATGTTTTGAATTTATCAGGCCTTTTTAACACCTCATTTTCCCTCTATTGGAAACTATGGAGCAAAAAGTGGGGGAAAGATTGAGCATACTTAGAAGTTTGTTCAAGTTTCCCCCCAGTTTGAGATGCACTGTGGGACTGAGAGGAACTTGGATCCAAAGAGAACATTTTCTTTTTGGACTTGCCAATACCAGCGCTCCAAGAAACAAGGCAGTTATAATTGCAAAGGGAGAGGCTGAGAGCACTTACTTTCCCAGTGGACTTTACACCTTTCCAAATGCAAAAGAAACATATCACCCAGACAAGGAGGAGACATAGTGCCAGGTCCCACTTGACAACACCAGGCTCATCAATTCCTGAAGACAAGCTCAATACGTTGTGCCTTAAAGGATAAAAAAAAGGAAAGACACAAGACAAAAGGTATGATAAAACAAACTGAACAGCTGCTTCACAAGAACCAGTCTTTAAAAGCAGAATGATGTTACTTCCCATGTTGCTTAAACAGATTAACTGGACACATGGGAAAGGCCCATTGTTCTATTTGTAGTCTTCCAAAGAGCTGGGAGTGATAATTATCCCTCAGCTTGTTAAAACTATTCTGTTCACTCTGGAATACTTGGAACTGAATCCATTTGTCTACAGGCAATCCTTGCTTTGCACAGGGGTTACATTCTGGACTCCTGAGCATGTCGGCGGGGCCCACGTAAAGTATTCCATTTCGCCCCTTTAGTGACATTTTCTGGTCACTTCCCGGTTTGGTGCCGTGTACACGTGCGCATGCTCTTTGAATCTGATGGGGCTACTCTAAAACTAATGAAAAGAACTGATTTTTTTAAATAAAAAAAATCAATCCACAAACCCACCTTTACAACTTCTTAGTATTTCCACTCATAACTAGTAATTTCTGTTGTGCAGGGAAGGTATAAATACACAAACCTCTCCAACTTTGTTATATATTGCCTTGAATTGTAAACAAATCAATCATCATTATTTTAGATAAATTTAGTTAAGGGGGGGTAAGGGAACAGGATAGCAACCTGCTTCTATCACAGCACTATAATCACACAGACATCCATTTTAATAAGTAAACAAAACACAGAACTAGGGGAGTTGTGTAACTTCTGAAGCGTGTCCCATTTCAGCTAAGATGAAGAACTGTTTAAAATAGAAATGGAGGATAATAAACTAGCTGTTCCCAAGGATCTCACTCATAAGAAGGAAAAGAGCAAAAACATTTTGCTAGATTTATGGCTAGCATCAAGTGTACATGAGCCAAAAGCGGATTTTGCTTCGTTTTATTCAGCTCTTATTAGATTTGCATGTCTGAAGCATGTGATCAGCTTCCTGAGATTTCACATGAACCAAGCCTGCTGAGTCCTAAGCACTTATAAGCTTTTGGTTGGTAGAAGGGAACAATAAAAGTTCTTGTTTACTGGTAATTGCCCCCTGCTTCTTACTGTTTCATTATGTTTGCAACCATATACTATGAAATAAAATCTTCACAACTAAGAAATCAAAGCATGTGATGTAATCCCAAGAGGTAAGACTCTGGAAATAAAGCCAGATTTGCTTATCCCCTATGACTGCTGCTCAAACAAGCATGAGATTTACACAGACCATTAGCTCAAATAAGATATAATGATGGCCTCCAATGCGCAATCAGCAACACTGCTAAGAGGAAGATGTCACTTAGCATACAAAGGTGAACATTTCAATAAAGTCAACCATGCCTGAGAAGTTTAGTGTTCAGCAAGTACAACTGATAAAGATTTCAGGAAACATTCCACCTAATAAAGAGCACTAGGCTTCATAATTCAGGCATTGTAACAGCTCCTAAGGATTATTTAATTCACAGTAGGACTGTTGTCTTCTGAATGTACCAAACTTAAGTGAATTAACACATGATAAAGGGGTTTACATATTTACAAGGCAACATACATTATTCTGAGTTATGTAACTTATTAGCTCAGGGCAATGCAGTTGACCTCAATCTGTTAATACATATAGCATATGGTAGTTATAAGATTACTGAACGTTTATCATTAATGTAAGATGCAAAAAAAACCCACCCCAATAAAAAGTTATTTTTAAAAATTAATGTAAAATGCAAAGTTCTTTGTTAAGGCCTTTCTGTGTAATAAGTTAACAAATACCTCCCACATAGATGACATTACTTGTGCAATGATTAAGTTAAATATCTGTATAAAATGCACGGTGAATCAAGGCCATCATTCACAGAGTCAACTTGAAACTTTATTTGAATAGGGCTAAATCACATAATCATAATCAAAACAGGAATATCAGGTGTGTGCACTGTCTCTGCGACTCTATAACCTGACTTATTCATTTATTATTCTTATACTCTTCCCTCCCTCCTTGCAGAATCCAGAACAGTAAACAGAGATGTTAAAACATGACCCAAATATCCTAAGACGACAATAATTAAAATTAGTAATAATTAAAAATTTGTAATAATAATCCAAAACTCCTACAGAAGTAGGTAATACTCCATACTCCCCCTTACAATTTTAGTCAGTCACCATTTTACTCTATGTTCTATGTCTCTTATAAAGTTCTCCAAAGAGCAACAATTAAAATTGCTTACTCCCAAAACTCTGTCACAGGAGAAGTGAAGTTAGTGGTATTCAGTGACAACCAGAGGGTTTTGTTCTTCCTGAGAGTGTCTTCTATGCAGTTTTTTGTGTTCCACTCTTGGTCGCAGAAAGCCCAAGGCAGCTTACTCGTAAAAGAGTGGAATAGATAGTACAGTCCCCAAGCCAGGATGATGATGTAATACACATTCAAAAGCGACACGATCACTATGGAAGCATAACCTATTCCTGATTTTTTTTAAAAAAAAGAAAGAAAGAAAGCAGAAGAAAAGAACATATGAAATTACACACATAAGTAAGGCTTGTTGGTATTACTGGTGAACATGTAATATTCACTAGTTTAGGAATCTCTATGTCTAGGGTTACAAAGGCAACAGTTCAACATCATATATCTGCTGCATTAAGCGGAGATGCATAATTTCAAGACTCAGATAAGGTATCAAGGGATTCCCCCTTTCACCAGTTGCACCCATGTTTCCAGAGAATTCAGTAAGGAGTAGTAGTTCTTCCTAAAACACAGTTGTGAGGTTGCAAAGGTATGCAAGCAATGGCTATCACATTTGGACTGCAAACATATAGACCATGGAAGGGTAACCTGTGGCTCTCTGAATGCTTTTGAACGTCATCTCTCATCAGTCCCATCATGAATTGGCCAATGCTTAGGGCTGATGTAGTACAGCAAGATCTGGAGGGCCACAAGTTGCCCACCCCTGTTGTGCACACTTACCTGGAAATAAGTCTCATTGAATTCAATTTGCCTTTCTTCTCAGTAGACATACAAATGATTGCACTGTTAATATTTAGGAACACCCTGCTTAATATCAACAAAACCACTGAAGCTACAACACTTAAGCAGAAGGAAATGGCCATGTAAATGAGGTACAATTCATTTCTTGTTAGGTTTGTAGTCTACGTTTCCCCCAAATGGTACGCAAAGCAGCTAACAGTAATTAAAAACAATACAATAAAAGAGCAATAAAATACAAAGAAAAGAAAAGCAGATAAGGCATCAATAAAAACAACTAGCTAAAACCTCATTTTGCCTCAAAAAAACTACAAGTTCTGGGCCAAAGGGCTATCTAAATAAAAATGGAAACCTAAGGACATGATGCAGTACCGATGGCTCTGTGGCTTGTGTCCTGGTGGACTATACCCACTAGTAGTAGTAGCAGAAGCAATAGTAGTAGTAGTTTCCCTCCCCGCCTCCCAAAGGAGCCAAGGGTGGCAAGCATACAAACAAGAAAACATCTAAAACCAATGCAGACTAGGAAGGAGTCCCAATTTAAAGCAGGTATTTGTTGGAAAAGAATAATTATTCCATGTGCACAAGGTAAAAATTGCCTTGTGTTTCTCCATGCTATATACCAATATGCTTTTGAAATAAAGGAGAATTTCAAAAGCACTTTGTGATGAAGTATTGGAGGGGAGATGTTCTACTCTTCAAAGAAAAAATTCCCACTGGGGAACAGCACACCCAAGGAAATAGTTTGAAGTAGTTCTTTCAATCCTGGCTTGTATTATGAAGCCACTATGAAAGCTTTAAACATATTTCTGAGTATCAGGAGCCAAAGCTAAATCACAGGAGATGGTTCTCTCAATCCAGATCTGCTTATGAGTCTCCCTGAGTCAATGTCAAATACAGACAGTGGGCAATGGAAGTGTTGGCCTAACCTAGGGTGACAATCATTACGTATGGAACACAATTCAGTGAAATGCACTTTCTCTGCAATGCAGTTATAACAGTAATATTCTACTTATACCTCTGACTGCAATGTATAGCACAACAAGAGGAAGGTATACTCAGAATTAAGTCCCACTGTGTTCTGCCTCTGTACAGCAGGGCTTGTTCCCAGGAAAAGTGTGGACTCCAACTTTACAGTGCAATCTTATACATATCTACTCAGAAATAAATGCCATTGAATTCAGTGAGGCTTACTCTTACGTAAGAATGTATAGGGTCACAGTCATAAAACATTGGTTATAGCAACAGTAATAACAATATTCTGGGAAGGAAAGACAACATGTTTGTGCAAAATAAAACAAGGTCAAAAGAAGGTTAGCAAACTGAATTTTGTAATATATGTACACATCTATCTTTTTTTTCAAAGGTATCATGTCTGCTATTTATAAAATAAATGTTTAACTTGCATATCAATGCTTGACAACAAAAAAATACTGCCCTGTTTGCTTTGCAAGCACAGGGTCACTAGCAGATAAGGTCATGTCCTTTGCTGCTCCAAATGGCATGCACACAGCTAATGAAGTGCAAATTGGCACAAACCTTTAGCTATAAATTCCAATCCAAGCCCCATACACTTGGCAAGAAGTCCTATTGATCTCAATGGAACTTCCTTCTAAGTAAGTACTTTGGGAGACACAGAACTGGTATAAACTGGCAATCACCTTACAAAACACCAAACTGCCCTGGAACAACTTAATGGCCTGTGAACACACCAGCTCCTTATTAAATATTGAGCTTTCTTGGACGATGGGAGCCATTCCACATTCTCCTGATGCAAATACCCATAGTAAACCATTTGATAGTCATTAAAGATCAGAAATCTCAGAGAAGTTGTTCCAGAGAGTTTCGTGTATTCTGAAGTCTACTATTTGAAATAATAGTAAATCCTAAACCTTTTATCAGGAACACATCAATTTCAATACTGCTCTTATATTTTTTTAAATAGAAAAGTTGCATTAGCAGAGGCCAACCAAAACTTTGTTCTCATCAGAATCCACCCCTGCCAAGCTAAAGTTATGTTTCAAACACAATACAAGGTCAGGGGAAAATTTGCTCCGCGTTCCAGTTCTAAACTTGGAGGTGGAAGGGAGGGCAGGAAACAAGACCACCTCCAATAGCTCAGAGCTGGAGGGGAGGTGGAAGAAAAAGCTTTTTGTACTTCTGTGACTAAATTTTTAGCACTCCACTGCCCCCTTTTTCAGGGTCTATCTCCTCCTCAGAAGGCAATACTGTGGATGTGGAGGAGATGTCAGAGGGAACTGCCCACAGAGGCAGCTTCAAGTCCTCACTGTCCTGGACACTCTGGCACAGTAGGTCATTCTCAAGCTGGGCCTTGCATCCTGCTGTGGAATTCCTGCCAGGTATGGCAAGCAGGTGTTGCCCTCAGTGCAAAAATGTCTCTAAGACCAGTACTGTTTAATTTTCCCCAGAGGTGTGTGACAACCATTCAGCTGGATGGCAAAAAAACTAAAAGGAAAGGATAGGAATTAAATAAAATCAGAGTCACCAGCAAAGTTAAGGATAAAACCTGTTTCCTGCCCTGCTGACCCCAGTCACAGGGAACCATGCCTCTGAATAGTCTCACCCTTTCCTTTGCATAGCTGCAAGGTGAAGGAAGAATGTGACAGAATTTTGGGAACTAACTTAGATGTGTGCATGTACATATATATATTTATAACGAATTTGGCAGATAACTAACCGGTGAAGATAGGGCAGATCTTTTCCCAGCATGTAATTCCTCCTTCGGAGGTATACTGTCCTAGTGCCACCTCCAGGAAAAACACAGGAAGACCTCCCCCAAACAGAAAAATGAAATAAGGTATGAGAAATGCACCTGTAGAGAAAACACAGAAGGAAGATTAGGAAGATTCTATGACTCAATGATTTTTTTTCTTAATGGAGTAGCAGCTGATGGTGGTATTTAAGTATCACTATGAAATCTGGCCCATGCCCTTGTTAGCATGTTCTGAAATTGCCACTTAAGAGCAAAGATTAATAATCAGACTTTAAATATGTTACACAAATGCCCTGTTATTTTCAGATTAAGAAATGGGGAACAATGTGAAAGAAAATGTGCAACAGAATGGTTTCCTTTCATTGCATACTGGAAGATTAGGTAAAATCTCAAGGCAATTGTTTTCTTGTTTTACAATGTCTCAGAATTTAATGACCTGCTGTTTACAAAGTGTACTGCATGTAACAGCTGTAAGTTTTTTAAAAGCAAATTAAATGCAGTGAAATGCATACCGGAAATATGTGACTGGCTTTCGCTAATATGAATCAAATTTCCCCTTTTTCAAAAAAAAAAGGGGGGGGGGTGAAAAGTAGCTATTAGTCCAATAGCACTTCCGGTTGTTTTTAAATCTTGATCTCATTCATCTTCAGAGCAGCCCTGCTTCCCCGCACACCCATTCACATGAAAGGGAGCTGCTATCCACATCCCAAACCATTATGGAAGCGACAACAATACTCACCTCCGCCATTTTTGTAGCAGAGATACGGAAATCGCCAAACATTGCCTAATCCAATAAATCCTCCAGCCACAGACAACAGAAAGTCAATCTTGCTGGCCCACTTTTCACGCTGTGGTGGCTTCCCCTCTGCCTCATCCTCAGGGCGTGTCCCAGGGCTCTTGCCAGGGGAAGGTTTGAGAATGTCCTTGTGGAAATCTTTCAGACACTGCAATTTCTCCTTTGTTGCCATGTTTTTGCTTTCTAAAAGGAAGGAAATTACAATATAGGTTTTATAATCCACATTACTTGTAAGACAAATAGGTACCTGTGCTTACAAATCATCTTGGCAAACAAAGTTTCCTTCAAATTCACCCACTTTTTCAAGTCAGTATATGCAGAGGAAAGATGCAGCTGACAGTTATTTCTGTCTTGACCCCACAAATGAGTTTAAAATACACCTGTGCCTCTTTCGTATTGACACCTATTAAGGGTCTTTTCACAATAGACGTTTAGCATTCCAGGTTCCTGAGCAGTCTGGAAAAACAATCCTTGGATCCTAATGACCGTGTTAGTAAGATACTTTGTGTTAGAGAAGAGGCGGAAGCATCTTTGTTACTCAGAGTATTAAAAACAAAAGCAGCATTGCCATGTATTGCAACACCTTTTCAGGCCAGCAGGAAGTAAAATGGATCCTTTTTTTTTTGCACAGAAAAGATGTGAAAGTCCATCTGAGCCAGGCCTGTAAAAACAGGCGAACTGCCACCGTTATGCTTTTGTTCCCTTTCCCTCTCAGAGCCACCTTTCAGACTGGGGCTCAAGCACTTGTCAGGCTTCTTCCTAAAGCTCCTTTGGAAAGTGGCTGTGGATTAAGGTATGAGTGCAGAATAGGTAATGTGTGCATAACAAAATTAAGAGGACAGGTAGAGTTTCTAGGGAGAGGGCAGAAGTGTGTGTCCTGGGGATGAATGGCAAAATAGTGGAGGTGTTAAGGAGGGAGGGAGGGAAGAAGGAAGGAAAGAAGCAAGGAAGAAAAGAGCAGTGTATTCCGTGTCGGAGATGGGAGATGCCAGGCACACACCCAGCCACTGCGAATTCTCTTGAACATCCTTGCCATTCCTGGTGTGCAACCCCAGATTTTGAAGTACTCTTTACCTACAGTTGTGAAGAGATTATCAACAGGCTTAACTCCTGTTTAGGCAACTATCAGATCGAACTCTGACTTTATGTTTACATCAGCTTAGTAAATGGGAGAGGACCACTGTAGAAAATCTGCCCTCTATTACGTCACCACGTTACTTTTTCTTTGCACTGACCCAGTGTCCATTCCAAGCCTGTAATTTCTCTCCAGAATCATCATCGGCTGAAATATTAAGGGTTTACGAAGAGAGTTATCATGGAGCTTCTATTAAAAGTGATCCCCCCACCCCCCGCTTTAAACATAGTGATTTATCCTAATGAGCGGAAGGATCTAAAGCAGCAGTTTCTTTCTTCTTCTATTTTTATATCTTGGTACTGATTAAACAACAAAACCCCTGCATAAATAAACCTTTCTGTTCAGTTCAGTTTCAGCATACACCCCCGCCTCATTTCACTGCCATCTCAGCATCTCACTTGGATTTCAAAATAAATAGGACTGACTCACTCCTGATACGCAATAGAATCATGTTCTTTGCTATAGCAATGGCTTTTTAGTTAATGAAATAGCCAATGACAAGGCTTGCTTTATGAAAACTCCAGGGCAAAGTGAACCCTAGAAGGTCACACTGGCTTATGAATATTGCTGTCAGCTGTTAAATTGCAAAAAGTATGCCATATATATATGTATCTCCATGTGCACACACGTGGACACACACACACTTGTGTTATATATGTTAGATTAAAAAAAATGGAAGATAAACACACACAAGATTTCATCCAAAGCGCATGTTCAAAACAGGCAACATTTGATCAGATTCAAATGTGGAAGCTGTGGGAGGTATGCCATTTACACTGGAGCGCTAAAGTAAACTTCCATACATTGCAGAGACTAGGCACATATAGGCTGTCTAGGTTGTCCTTATTTCTGCATATTTGTGCTCTTATATATTAGAAGGGCAGTCAATCCAATCCAGTCTTCGTATCTGTGTCACATGGCTTATTTTTCCTCCAATCAGAGAGTTATTCTGTACCGAGTTATGTGACTGGAAAGGCACATAATTGACTTTCCATCATTTTTTAAGCTTGCATGATGATCCTACATTGGAATCAACACATGCAAATAATCCTACCAACATGCAGAAGATGACTGCTGGATGAGGGCAATGATTTAAATCTAGAAAGTTTAAAATATAACACTGATAGAAAGAGATATAGCTAGTAAACACTTAAACCTAACATTCATGATGGAAGACATTAATACCTCATGCTTAAACCATCTAAATAGATCATGCTGGACACAATAGGACTTATTTCCGAGTAAATGTGCATAGGACTGCACTGCAGATCTGTTTGTATTTACATGGTGCTTTATTAGTGAAAACATCTACGTTTTTATTGGGCTTATGCAAAGCAGTTCATTTATTTAAGGCTGCAACAATGTTTTTACTTGTTTACGCAAGTGTCACCACAAAAACTTAGTTCATATTATCGCAGTGAAACCTGGAATTAATTTGCTGCTTTCTGATCTGTAAACAGATTTAGCTTGTATGGCAATGACCTGAAACTAGGGTTGACATTAGTTTGGCAGGAAATCTGCAACTGGAACATGATTCTGAGACTGATATGCATCAATGTAACCATGCAGATGAAAACCTTTTCATAAACCATGAATAAGGTTTGGAGGGAAAATATATTTGCTTTTCATGATGCTATTATCTGGAAAAAGTTTATTGGAGCCATTTTAATCTAATCTTTTCAAGTGTGCCTAAACAGACCATATGCAACACTGAATGCCAGGTAACAGATTGTCAATTAACACGTCTAGCCAACTTGTTTCAAAGGGTTGGTTTAGTATGGGAACTATGATGTTACAGAATAAGAGCCGACAGGCTGACATATTAGACATTGAATCTTAACCAGTAATTAAGTATGTAATACAGTAATTATATCTACACTAGTAGATATGGAGAACAGCAAATTGGAACCTCTCATTTGCAATGGTCCTCTTCAAAGATTAGTTTCACTTTATTCAATACATTTGAATTCTCATGTTCATTTTTGAACAACATTAAAGTAGAGATATTATAGAAAGTAATAGGTCATGGCTTTACAGTGGTGCCCCGCAAGACGAATGCCTCGCAAGACGGAAAAACCGCTAGACGAAAGGGTTTTCCGTTTTGAAGCTGCTTCGCAGGACAAATTCCCCTATGGGCTTGCTTCGCAAGACGAAAATACCTTGCGAGTCTTGAGATTTTTTTCGCTCCCCCTTTATCTAATCTGCTAAGCCTTTAATAGCCTTTAATAGCCTTTTAGCAGCTAATCCCCTAAGCCTTTAAGCCTTTAATAGCCGCTAAACAGCTGATAGCGCTAATAGCGCTAATCCGTCAATGGGCTTGCTTCGCAAGACGAAAAAACCGCTAGACGAAGACTCTTGCGGAACGGATTAATTTCGTCTTGCGAGGCACCACTGTATATAACTGAGACAACAAGCAGAAGAAATATATGTCCTACAATAGCTTTCATCTGAATCAGAGTTCAGTGTGTGGCATGAGACATCCCCTTCCTCCTGAGGTTGAGCTCTGTCACTATTCTGAAATTTCCGTCTACCCATATAAATTAGCATAGGTGAATCAGTGCCCTCTTTTATAGTGAGGAATTTCCTCTTTTGGGCAGGTATGTGAATGTCCACCTTAATCTTGCCTGCTGAACATCTTGCCTACCTCTGCCTACTCCAAAGCCCAAAATGTATTCGAGATCTATCATCCACCACCCTTTTCTAGGGCTGCCATACGTCTGGATTTTCCTGGACATTACCAGGATTTCAAAGGCAATTACAAAATTGCGTGGTTTTTTGTGTTTCTGTAAAAAAAAAAAAAGGAAAAAAATGGGGATTTATTTTTTTTAAGTCAACAATTTTGGGGTGTGCTGGTTTTTCCTTTTTGAAATATGGCAACCCTCCCCTATTTCAGTCTTTTGGAACATACAGTGGACTTTAAGGGAGAGGAAAGTTTAGTTGGGAGGACCACACTTAAGTTTGTGGAGGCCCTGCCTAGGTAAGAAATTTAAAAACCTTGCAATGACTTTGTCACATCAAAAATGAATGCCAGAACTTAAGCTTTAATAAAATCTATTTGCGGGGGGAAATCTATGTAAGAATCTGGGTTAAATTAGCAGGTCCTTGATTTTAAAAGTGGGCTTTTTCAGATTCACTGGATGTTCTTACTTCTTGAATTAACAGGGAACATTTGTTTGGACTGAAAAAATATGGTGAGACTGGACAGAATAAGTTCACTTCAACGAGCATCAAGTGCTTTCGGGCATCACAACACAAATAGAGCAATGCTTGCAATTAACTCATGCTAGTTGTGTGACTTCTTGGTGTAACTAAATTAAAGTGTCTAAGGAGTCTTCAAACGGATTCCTGCTTTGAACTGACAAGATCTGAGGGCCCATTTTTTTCATAAACTGTTTTGCAGATCACCCCCATAACAATCACACTGAGCAGTACCACAATTCTATCTTATGACATAAACAAACTTCTTAAAATGCTACCCTTTATTGTGCTCATATCTCAGACTTAACCCTATGGCCCACCCATGGTCTCCTGACTATTGCCAATTACAGGAAATGCCAAGAGAAGATGAAAAGGAGGTGGTTCAAGGCACTGCACAGTTGAGGAAAATTCCAAGAAAACTGTGTGTGTTTAATGAAAGGCATTGTCCTGAACACTAATAGGATTTGTTTTTAATTTCCTGTGATTTTATTCCACTGCATTAAACTACAATGCCTTTTAAGAGATAATAATCAACACGCTGATATGAAGCTGGAAGGCATTTTTCATGCTGGAAACCAGAGCTATTATTTCAATATCAGCTAATAGGAAACAAAGTAACTCAAAGACAGAAACTCTATGTTTAAATATAACTCAAATTCATGGAGAATAAAATGGGCAATTCTACTTCTAAAGAACATGCCAGCTTCTAGGAGACACATGTCTGCTTTCCTTTCAGAAAACAAGGGCTTGGCCAAAAACACTTAAGATGGCTGAACAATGAAGAGAGCCAAAGCCACCATTTATAGAAGCAAGTCTGAGTGCAGCCAAAGGCAAGTTCCTTCCAAAACAAAAACTGGGTGGAGGGAGGGGGGAATATCCAGGCCAAATCCTGCTGTTGTTTTACTGGTGAGTATCCAAGTCTGTTCATCAAATTCAGAGCAATTGTCCAGAACTTTCAATGACATTACAAAGAGGGATTATTACATAATCAGTAAGATATGGCTTTGTTTCTCTTTGGCTCCCCAAACACATACTTATTCTTAGTAATAAGACGTCATCTCTGCTTCCAGGCTCTAAGCAAACCATTCAACTAGCAGTGTCCCACTAAACTATCAGTCATGAGCATTAAATGCTCTGGGAAAATCTGCTGACATTACCTCTGTCAGTTCTAGTTTGCATTGCACCCACAGGCTCATGCTCTTCTTCCCACCTTTCCACCTCCTCCAGCCTCTGGCACAGCCATGAGATCAGAAACTTTCACTCCTGTTTTCAATTAACTGCAGTTTAGCATTCATCTCAACTATAAGTCAATCTCAACTATAAGTGGGACCTTCAAAAAATGTTGAAGCATGGAGTGCTCCTTCTTCAGGATTCTAGCCACTGTATTATATCTTTTCTCACCCACATTTTCAATTTATCCTTCCGTCAGTCAGCTTTCAACAGCCAATGAGCATGCTCAATCCTCATCAGACTGGGGTTCCCACCCTGTGTGGGGCTCTCCACTCCTTAGATTTCCCCCTAAAGAATCAAATCTGTGTACAGTGGTACCTCTGGTTATGTACTTAATTCGTTCCGGAGGTCCGTTCTTAACCTGAAACTGTTCTTAACCTGAGACACCACTTTAGCTAATAGGGCCTCCCACTGCTGCCACGCCACCGCCACACGATTCCTGTTCTCATCCTGAAGCAAAGTTCTTAACCCGAGGTACTATTTCTCGGTTAGCGGAGTCTGTAACCTGAAGCGTATGTAACCCGAGGTACCACTGTATTTCTGCAAACCATGAGGTTCCCCCAAGCCTGCTGATTATTTCCTTTTGTAAGTGGATAGAACCATTTTGGCTACATAAGCAATGGCATCCACTCCTACCAAGACTGGAAATGGTATTTGGTTGAGTGAAACAACACAGCTTCATAAACCATAGTTTGGTTGGCTTGTCTCGTTAAAGCATAGCTAAGCCTAGCCAGTTTATCTACTTTCAGGCATAACGCTGAAATGTGGCCAACTAAAAAATGGAACTGAGGATAGTTGAAAATGGAAGCTAAAGCTTCCTTGCAGCTGCACCAGGGAGAGAGGCACGCATGACCCCAAGGCACATTCACATAATTTGGTAATCCAAAACCTCAGTGATCAAAACACACACTAGAACCAGGATGGGTGGTCTCTAGGTCTGCCAGCAATTTCTTTTGCCTCCTAGTAATTTTGGGAGCCAGAGATTTTAAACAAAACATTAACTACTAAGCACACACATTACTAGAGGACTCACTCCTTTCCACTGTATAATGAACAGCAAAAACTTCTGGGCTTTGCTATTTTGAAAGAACATGCTTCAGTTTTACTTCTCTCGTTTATCTTAATGCACCTTCCAAGCAGATTGCCACATGCCATTTATACTGCCTTCTGCTTATCTGTTTTATTTTTCATTATGTGTTGCTCTGCAATGAACTGAGGATGTTTCAAAGTACAAGCAAAGTGTACTATGAACTGCAAACTCCTAGAGTGAAAGTTGCTTATATCACAATGTCTCATGTCTTTGTATGTGTAGAAGCAGTGGAAAGGATTAAAAAATCTTCAATTGTGAGGAAATGTAAAGAACTTACATCTTAATGAGCAAAATGGCAATGCACACTGCACCAGTATTTGAAATTATCTAGGCATGGGTAAGACCCCTTGCCCTTTTTATCTGTATAATTAACACACTATGCTTTTGTACATATAAGCAGGGGAAGTAATGAGATCAGTGTGATCATCTCACAGAGGTGTGATGGTTTAGTTAAGCCAGTACAAGCACAAGATACAACTCTTTTTATTTAGCTAGGTTCTCATCATTTCAGCTTGATGTTCCATGAAGGCTTATACTGTAAGACCCAAATCTGACTGGCTAATAATGCTGGAACAGAACAGTGCTCATAAATGAGTAAGAGGCAGAAACGAGCAAGTAGCACTTTCCTGTAGCGGATAGCACAGAGTCATCCTATCTTGCCTAAAGTAGCACTTTCCTATAGCACAGGGGTCAGCAAACTTTTTCAGTAGGGGATCGGTCCACTGTCCCTCAGACCTTGTGGGGGTCTGGACTATATTGGGGGGCGGGGAATGACTGAATTCCTATGCCCCACACATAACCCAGAAATGCATCTTAAATAAAAGGACACATTCTACTCATGTAAAAACTCGCTGATTCCCAGACTGTCCGCGGGCCGGATTTAGAAGTCAATTAGGCCGGATCCAGCCCCTGGGCCTTAGTTTGCCTACCCATGCTGTAGCAGATAGCACAGAGTCATCCTATCTTGCCAAACATGTTTAGGCTGCAATTTAGCCAAAAAGTACAAAGCTTGCAGTGTTAAACTGAGGCTCTTTAGTATCAAAGCTGCCCATCTGTCACCTCCAGATTGACCCTACCATGCTATGGGTCAATTCATCTTGTCATTATTGTCTGCATGTAGCATTACCTGGGATTCCCTAAAGACACATTGTGTCTCATTTTAATAACCATGGTTTAAGATCCTGGCTTGTTCCAAGGCTGATAACCATAGTTTCCCAGTTAATATGGGAAACTGTGGGCTAATTGGAGACCTGCAGCTTGCATAAAAGGAGGTGTTATGGGGCTACCTAAGCAGGCAAAAAGCTTGTTCATATCTTGACCAAGTCATGATCACCCAAACAAACCCAATGTCACATAAAAACTGGGCTCTTCACAGGTGCAGTACACATTTTTAAACCATCATGAGATCCCAAGAATTGTTCCTGAGAAACTGTGGGTATATTAAGTGGAGACAAAATTCACCACATAAATCTGTTTGAAGACATGTTTTCCATACCATGAAAGGAATGGATCTTTGAAGTAGGCGTGCTTGGAATACACTCCCTATCAGACACTGTCCCAGAAACAGGACATCTAGGCTTCCCTTTCATTGCTCTCCAGAGTCAAAACAACACCACACTCTTTAGGCATCAGGACTGCTTCCATAAAGTAACAGAGCAGGAAAGAAATGGTGGCAGGCATTAACAGAATACAGATGAAGGACTGAAAGCTGTTATATCCTGCTGCAAGTATTGTTAATTCAGTAAGGAGAAGTGGCCTGGTTAAAGGTTGTTTTTGTTCATAACAAACCAACTTCTGATCTCAATTAACACCCCTGGGGGTGAGCTAGCTAAAAGGCTAATGATTGACAATAATCCAGAAAGGAGCACAAGCTTCCTGCTGCTTTCTCTTGATAAACTGCTGCTTTGATCATTACATCATCACTCCAGATGCAAGAGTGCAAAATGTTACTGTTTGGTGCTGGACAAAATTTCAGAGGCGACTAACTGCACCTGAAAAACTTACAGTATTAGGTGCAATTCAAATGACAAGTGCCTCTTATTTAAAATTCTGGGATACACAGAAGGCAGGCGTTCACAAATGCTATCCACACACATTTAATATTGCCTGGAGTACATATGAATGTCTTCTGTTTCTATTTCATTTCAGCTCGTTATGTGCCGCCATCAACTATCTGCATCAGTGATTTGTTCTTCAGGTCACTTTCCCATCCACAACCAGAGCACACTTTGCCTGACAATGATGTCACAGCATGCAACGTCAGAATCATTCCATTGCCCTGACAATCAGACGGAAATGTATTTTGTGCGGCACAATGGGAACAGGTGCCGAAACAATGTGGGCAGGCACTGTTAACATCTTCATGTTGGCCCCTATTAAGAGCAACCATCCCAGGTTACACAGTACAGTTACACAGCAAATCTAGTGTATTATTAGAGATTTCATTGCATCACTAACAATGTAATCTGCTCTAAAACTGGAAACAGGGCCACAGCTCAGTGGTTGGTTGGCATCCATTGGGAAATAATGAAGGAGTGAGTCTTCGGGGATGAAGTCAAAGCATTAGAGAGTTACAGCACCTGCTGTGGCTGTAGAGGCCAATAGGGGAGAAGCATATTCTGTTGCAGCTGGGGCAGATGAAGGCATCCAATTGTGCTGATGAAGGTATACCAGTGGTAAAGCACATAAAAATGATTATGGATTCTGCCCCTGGGATTTCTAAGTGTGTGTGTTAAATATCTCAAGTGGCATGGCTAAGGATGAAAAGCCATCTGAGATTATGGATGGCTGCTACCAGTCAGGAAGCGAAGCTTTGAGGACTAGCCGCTTCACACGTTCATGACAACTAGGATACGTTACTTCAGTTGCCATTCAGTCACCAAGGCAAATGTCATGGTTTGTGGGTACAGACAAATGGAAGTACAGATCAGAGCTACTGGGATGATAAAAAGAACCAATAACAGCTAATGGATATATCTTGAAGAAGAAGAAGAAGAGTTTGGATTTGATATCCCACCTTTCACTCCCTTTAAGGAGTCTCAAAGCGGCTAACATTCTCCTTTCCCTTCCTCCCCCCCCAACAAACACTCTGTGAGGTGAGTGGGGCTGAGAGACTTCAAAGAAGTATGACTGGCCCAAGGTCACCCAGCAGCTGCATGTGGAGGAGCGGAGACGCGAACCCGGTTCCCCAGATTACAAGACTACCGCTCTTAACCACTACACCACGCTGGGCTGGCTCTGATAACATCTTTCTTTATGAAGTCTGCTACGATCTGCTTCATTTAGAGTTGGGCTTCCATTTAGGGGAAAAGAAAAAAGAAACAACTGAACAGAAACTAGATTTTATCATATTTGAAAGAGGAAATGAAGCTCTATGGTCAGTCACCAGAATGCTGGGAACAGAAGGTGAAACAGAAAGGGATCAGGATGTTTCTACAGAGAAAATGCTCTAAGCTACATAAACCTGCCAGTGAGGAAACTTACACTGAACTACTTGTTCTTTTCTGAGTGGCAAAACAGCAGAAACACCCCCCACCCGTCAAAAAAACTCTCATCATCTGTTGTTTCCTTACTTTCCTAGCCACACACATGCACGCTGATGGTGAAACAGCAGCAAAGAAGACAGAAATCTACTGTTTATGCACTTATGTGGGTACAGAACAGACTGACTCACTGCCTAGAGTCAACGTTGATTTCTCACTCCCCATAGCTCACCCACTCACTGGATTCTCCACTGCACCTTTAGCAAGATGGTACATTAAAATGGCTACTCCTGCCCTGATTTTAGACAAGTAGCATTCATAGGGTGCCCTTTGACATGCTAAGTGAGCCCCTGCTACTGCTTCAAGACACTTTCTCCTCTTATTTCCAGTCTCATCAACCCCCCTCCTTTCTTATGCGGCAACAGCATCATGACTAATTTAATTACTCCAGAGACTACTTAAGTAGCTACTTAATGGGTATGTGAGAATGTGGCTGAGAGACTGGCTGATTGCACATGACAAGTTAAACCAAACCTTGACTTACCCAGACCAAAGGAGTACACATTCCTGGAGAAGGGTTTGCAGCTGCTTTGCTCCTTCCTAGTTCTTTTGCACCATGCCAAGCAGGCTTAGTTTATCATGCCATCCAAACCAGGACTCGTGGTTAAGCTCCTATCCTCACTAACCAAGAGCTATAACAAAATACAAGCCTTGATTACAACTTGTGGGTAAGTGGAACCTAACCACAAGTCCCAGTTTGGATGGCACACTAACTCAAACCTTGGCTTTGCTCAGCATGGCAGGAAGAATTTGGATGAGAAAAGTGGCTGCGAGCTCTTCTCCAGCAGCCCACAGCATGGTCTCACTAAACCAAGTTTTGGCTTAGCCTTTCATGTGCACCAGGCCAATGTCTGCATTGCACACTAGAAATGGTTCTGGCATGACCTTAAACCGTATCCAAATAAATCCTAGAAAAAGCACTTCTGGGATCACCAACGGTCAGCATCAATAAGATAACACTTGGCTAAAGCCATGGTGCCCAACAACAATTTATGACTGTGGCACAGATATGCTCAAAGTGGTGAGGGAGTAGTCATCTGTTACATATGACCATTGCCCCAACTGAGCACCTGCCACTACTTCCTGAGGCACACACTCCACTACAACTTCCCCTCCCTAGTCAGAAAGTGTGCCAACTGGCATCTCTCAATCCTTTTTATATGGGAAGAAGCCAGGGAAATCCTTTGGGACCAAGGGATAGCAATACTATAAACTCTCCACAAGCCTGGGAAAAGGGAGTAGGAAGGATGGACAGCTGAATGGAAACACTGGATTAGTAAGGAAGCTGGTTGTAGAGGAGCCTAGGACCTGTGTATGTGTTGTGTATCTGAAATCCTATGCATATGCACCTAGGAGCAAGTCCCAATTAGAAGTCAATGGGGCCTACATGCATAGTGGTGCCCTTTATGTCTATAAGCATTTAAGATTAGAAAACATTTATTCTTATAGTTAAAATGATTCTGTAATAGGAATATATTTTACTATATTTATGGGTCTACCAGTTATTTCCAAATTTCAAATCTTCTGCATATAACCTTGGGGTCATATAAGTCACTAGCCATTCTGTGTAATTCTTAACAGTTTTCCTGAAGAATGTGTGATAGAAGATCCATTTTTAAATCAGAAAATTATTTTCAGCACAATATTTATTACCAACAAAAACTTTGGCAATCAGATGCAAGAAAATGCTACGCTGTTGCTTTCTGCAAATCCTTCTGTTGGCTAATCAGATCAGGATTAAAATAAGCATTTCATTTCTCTAAGAAACCGAAACATGCAGCCCACTTCTAGATATCATGCTTTGCAAAGCAGAATTTGCAAACAGAGAACTTAACCTACACTTTCACCTATAGACAACAACAGCAACAAAGCCACTGATTTTAATTTTGACTTCAGTTAGGAGTTTCACTTGAGTGAATGTGGAATCAATTCCTGAATCAAGAAAAAGAACTTTCCGGCTCTGTCATGGTACATGGAGCCTACTTGCCCTGAACATTCTTACCAAGAAGTGGTAAAAACCTATACTGAAAATTACTGTGAAAGAAAGCAAGCAAGCAAGACAGAAAGAAATTGTTTATCTCTTCTATTAGTTGCCACTGATTTCAGACAATGCTTTTGATACCATTATTTATATTTAGTTTGTGTTAATCTCACACACACTTTTTGCACTTCAGAAGCATGCAGAACCACAACATTAATTTGAAGAGGGTACAAAGCAACCAGTCTGAACAAAATTAATGGATATCCATGGTTATGGTCACTCAACCTTTAATATGTAATTTGCATTTTGATTTTTTATTCTTTTACCTTGTGGCAGAAAAATGAAACTATGACCAAGTGGAAAATGTTTGCAATTTCATACTACTACTACTACTACTAATAATAATAATGCTATGGAGATGTGAATGAAGTCTGCTATGGCAACATCTTTACAAAAGCAAAACAACAGAAAATGAGACTTTAAAAAATAAAATTAAATGCATATTTTTCCAGTTTGCTTGCAGAACAGGGAAATAAGACAAAGCATGAGCGATTGGGGGATGACAGCAGTTTTCAATAAACATGGATTTTGTGCTGCTTTTTAAGGAAGTCAAAGGTGCTTTCAATCAAAATTCAGAATAAAGCATTCCTCATTTTGATAGTATCCTTATCTGACTCCAATGAGGTGAACCCAGATTTTAAACAAAAGGGTGAGATTCAATGCAGTGAGTGTCAGCCTGCACAACAAAGCTTTCCCTTCCTCTCTCCTCTCCCCTGCAGCCTCCCCCCACAAATGGCCCCAGTATCTGCTCTGGTGTGTTGGGGGAATCTTCTGGAGCAGATTTTGGGGGCGGGGGGGGGGGGGCTGCAGGGTGGAAAAGAGAAAATAAAGTGTTAGTCCTGTTGCACGAGCAAATTTCCATTATGTATGTTGCCCAATAAATCTAATCTGAAATGCTGTAACAGTAAATTATTTTGGGTGAATTATTCTCCCCTCAAGTAGAGGAATTATATGTGTGCCTTCTGTAACAGGTAAGTAACATTTTCTTCTTTAAGCATTTGTCGGTTTTATTATCTTCCTATGTTCCCCTACATATGTTCATTATGACAGACAATTTCTCAGAAATGACAGAATAAAGAGCAATTATTCAAAATTAAAGGAAGAAAACTATGTCATCTACCGGAATATTTGTAAAATATTGTGAGCAATCCAGGGCAACTTAGACATTCCTATCAATGGGGCCACATACTCTGGAGTGTACCTCATTCTTTGCAAGCTGAATAGTTAGAAATGTCCACACCCCTTAGACTGGCAATAAAATTATGAGAGCTGCAAAGTCCGGATGTAATGATGGGATGTGGCAGAAGCATAGTGGGTGACTGGAAATGGTGCAACTTTTCTGTAGATCATCTGAGGGCTGGCACTGCCAAGACAGCACATTTGGGAGGGGGACAAAAAAATGTTGTAAATGTTTGCAGATAACATTCCTAGAACTCTCAGTGACATGTGGATAAACACAAACGAGGCATCAAGCTCCATGTACAAACATGCCTCCCCCCCATTTCACAAGCATCCCACCTTAGCTGCACTCACCCGTTGGAACTTCTGTCCCCTCCTCAATGCGGATGGGCAGTGCTGGTTCCTCCATAGGGTGAGGCACTGATAGAAAGTAATGAATGATGGTAGTATTTGACGCAAAATGATTACAGTAAGATGGTTCCTTCTTAGCATTATAGTTACAAATGAGACTGGCGATAGCTATGAGCAATCCACTTTCCATACTAAGAAATGACCTGCTTCTAAAAACAATCCTAAATCCTGACAAAGACCATCTCTGAGAATGCATTTCTGTCTGAAAAGGCTCAGATCATTCCACCATCTCTGAAATACTTGAGCACAACTGCCTTAATAAGTATTTATACTTAAGGGCTATACACTACTCCCTCAAAATTAACACTGCTGCAGAGGATTTAATTCTGTTAAATGTCAAGTTTTAAAAAGGAAAAAGTATCTTAACTAAGAAGAGGATACTGTTCCACAATTACTGTACATTTTAACAAATCTAGTATTTGACATTGTGCTTGTTTTAACTCTCATGAGAGCATTTAACTCCCATTTAAAAATTCATGCTGCAGCAGTCCAAAAAGCCAAAGCACTAAGCCACAAACACTATAGAGATGATGAGCAAAAATAAACGTATACAAAGATGTACATGAAGAAGAGTCTTCACAGGCTATCTGGAGATGCAGAAAAGGAAGCATCAAGACTTCCAGTTTCACTTTACTGATACATGCCTAAGCAGGTAATAAAGGGGCACACTGTTATATATTATATGCACACCCAGGTTTGTATACATATGAGATACATATGTGTACAAATCAAGACCCATGGCACTTTTTGCAGTCTGTGTATTTATCTCCTTTTTTTGTTGTTGTTATATCCCATTCCTTTTCTACATGAAAAGGAATATATCTTTTCTGTGAAAGATATTAAGAGAGTGAGAAGGAAAAGGGCAAGGGGGAAAAGGAGGAAAATGCCCTGCTCAAGCAGAAGGCTGTAGAGGAACTGGGCTTGGAGAATGGACACCTGTTCTTCCTTTCTCTTGTCCTCTGAAGCACAACATGGCATTCCTCCTTGCTTTTTAAAGAACTTGAAGGAGGGGAAAGTTTGGAGCTAATGCCTCCTCTGCCCCCACCTTTACACAATGAGGAAGCATTACATTTTGCAGGTTAAATGGCCTTTGCAGAGAGCAAATTGAGCCCAAGGAATGTACTAATCAGAACAGAGTATTCTTCAAAGCCAATTCCTTTTCCCAATCCAGCGATGGGCACAGAAAATACACCTCCCAACTCCAGGGGCCGAGAATTCATGTGTGGGTGCTGCTCTATATTGCTAACATTTCAAGGTAGCTGGAGGGCAATGAGCACGTGAAACCACTGTCTTCAGCCTGTTTTTGAGGGTTACAGGGAAGGCATGTGTGTAGTAGGCCATTTAAAAACACAAGACCCACAATTTCCCTGCATATCTCAGTGGTATGTAGGCATCCAGTCTGACCCTTTCCCTTCACTAGTTCTGCTGTCCAGCACATCCGCAGCACATCCACATGCAGCTAACCCTCATTTGAAAATAGGAACGATGATGGTTTAATAGTTTAGAAATTCTGTCTCTCTATCATGCTAACCATCCAGAGAGGCCATGCACCTTACAGAGCTGGCCAATTATGACATCCAATGAGGCCAAGGGGAATGAGATTCTATGTTATGCTTGCTCCTCATTTCATGGGTTTGCCTGTCTAGGCTGGGAGTTTCCTCCAAGAAGCTAGTAGATCCCACTTCTCCCATTCCTACCAGTAAACTTTAATTTTCTCTGGACAGCACCATTTTACCCCTAACCACTCACCAAAGTCCCTACATTCAGTTGCCATTAATATTACTGCTATCAGGCTCACCAGGCGCAGAAAATGCTGGATCAAGAGGTGGCAATAATGACAGTGAGTGAATCACTTTAAACACTGTTCCCATGGAGAAACATCTTATTAAATGGCATCTGTTGGGACCCTTGCATGTTGTATTGCAGAGGATGAAATGTGCAAATGGACTGTGTGCCACTGTACTGTAGTAGGAAAAACGCACAAAATGGGGTTCTATTGTCCATTTTTCTAATTTGGCTAACCATGGCCTGGGATGTATGGTTAGCCTTTGGCAGCCTTCCCCAACCTGGTGTCCTCCAGATGGTGTTGGCACTCCAAATCCCCTCAGCTCCAGCAAGAATGACCAATGGTCAGATGTTCAACTACAACTCCTCTCACCCCTGGAGGGTACTAAGTTGGCAAAGACTAGCCTATGGTGTGGCTGACAGGCATCTCATACATCCCAAGAGGCAGAGGCAAGGAGGGAAATCTTCAAAACCTATACCCACATCTGTTGAGAATTAAGGCAGAAAGGAGGAAATTCTTCCATTTTCCTCATCACAATATTTTGCACTGTTCCCTTAAATCTGAATGCACTGCTAGTTTATCATGCAAAACAAGGCCATGGCTTAAAGGGAAAAGATGTTTGCAATCAAATTTGCCTCTACAAATGGAGGTACTCAGCACAGAAATGATTACCTATGGAGAGTGTGCTGCACAAGCTGCTTTTTATTCTAGCTCAACTAGTACTTCAGCCCCATAAGAACATTTGTTACCATAGCTTTTAGCTACATGAACCCATTGTTATGCAAACAAGGCAGCACTTACTTTTTTAAAAAAAACACTATTGTTTTATTAGACCTTTACCCAGGGCTAACATTCCTGAGTTTGCCGCTGAGTTAGGGACAGTGTGCACAGAGAATGTCATATAAAACAGACTCCATACCACAAAGGAATGCAATAATTTTCCTCTCCAAAGCAGATTCTGCTCCATCAAAACAAAAACAAAAAACTTAAACCTAAGTGAATCCCTACCTTTATTAAATTTACAAGTTTAATTAAGTTTTTGAACACAGAGACAAATTTTCAAAAGAACTGTGCAGCTAGTTCAATGTGTCCAAGGGGTTTTTTAGTCCTGTGTTTCGCAAACAGCAGCCCTCTCGATGAATGATGAAACTGAAGGGAAACTCATAAGCAGTTTGAGATATGGCATGGTTATTACTATTAAGAAGGGTATGTGTGCATGAGTGTAAAGTCTCAGTGGGTGTACCCAAACTTATGGGCTTAGACAACGTCTTTGCAAGTAACCAGCCAGAATTTGCAAGTAAGCCAAGTCCATGAGCTGAATATATAACTGTTTTACCGCAACCTGCTGCTCCATTTGGTCTGAGAATGATGCTCATTCAGAGGAAGGGAACATTTAGTAAAAGGAGTTGCATAATGCAACTTAAAAAAAACAACATTGATGCTGCTGGGACTGGCTCTCTAGCACAACCTAGTGGTTAAGACTCTTGCTCATTCATCCAGGGTGAGTCACTGTTTCATGTAAATAAATAGTTTGCCAGACCTCAAACTGCCCTGTGATACATAGATCAGCAGACTGACTACATCCTGTTGCTGTTCTTTGAAGGGGAAGGGGACTGGTAAGTGTCTATATATACTTATATTCATGGCTGTCAACAAGTAATGCCAAGAAATCGTAGAAAAAGCTTACAATATCTACATACTATCTGAGGCCACACGCACATATGCACACGCCAACTTTGCAAATACTAACTTGGATTATGTTATATAATCCAAGAAAAACAAAGTGTATTTCAGCACAGGAATGGCAGCAGGAAAATGTATACTGAGCTCGTACACTGATTTGCTCTATGGCCTTGGAGAAATCTCTTACAGTGCAATCCTAAGCATATTTACTCTGAAGTAAGTCCCATGTAGTTCAAAGAGAGAGAAAGGACTTACTCTCTAGTAAGTGTACCTGTGATTGCAGTGCTAATTACTCTTCATCAACTTCTATTTCTAAAATGAGGGCAATAGCAGTTACCTACTTGTTCACATGAAACCCAGCACTTTTGTCAAACTGCAAATTCAAGTCAGAGGTTGTTGGCTATTAATACTACGACGACGACAATAACTACTACTACTACTACTACTAACAGCAGCATTTCTAGTTTGGCCCAAATCGCTTGCTCTCTCAACCACTATTTTGTAAATTTGAAACAATAGGAACCTCACTTCACAAAGTTGGTAAGAATATATACAAAACACTGATCCAGAATGGGATGATCTGTGCACATGTTCTGACAGATCACCTTAACTATACACAGGAGTAAGAAGAGGCTCTGCTAGAGGGAGCAGACATCCACGTCCTGCAGCCCCAATTCTCATGTAGTTCCCACCCTCTAATAATAATAATAATAATAATAATAATAATAATAATAATGTTGAGTATTTATCACTACATGACAGTAGCTTATTTTCTGCAAGCAGTTTTACTGTCCTATGAGCAGATGGTGAACATTTGGAATTCTGGAACATTTGAGCTGCACTGCTAATATTTCGCTATTTTCATTAACGAGCATTAATAACACTTACATGAAGAAGAGTCTCTCCAGAATGGATTTTCTCTTCCTGTTTCAGAAAAAGAAAAAATAAAATAAAATAAACAAAAACAAAACAAAACAAAAAATAAGATGCTAATGGAGGGGAAAATATGGACATAATCCTGCCAGATATGAATGCCAGATGTGTGTTTAAGAACTCCAGATAACAACAGAGTCTGCACTACCAGGCAACTGTTCCTCCCTAATTTTCTGCTTTAATCTTTCATACAATGTGCCAGCTTTAAAAAAATGAAATTCTGGCAAACTGTCTCAAAAGTCAAACTTAAGATCCAGAAAAATTAAGCTCCTGCAGCAAGACAGGGAGGCTTATCACTTTCCCTGGGATTTGTTTGTGCATCATTGTCTAGGATCTCCATTGTTTACAGCCATTTTCTAGCACCGAAAGGTCCTCTGTGGCCTACAGTAGGGACTCTGATCTTTTAGTCTTGAAAAATGAAAAGCTGAAAAACAGCTTAGGAACATAAGAAGCTGCCTTACACCAGGTAAGTTTGTCCAGTTAGCCCAGTATTATGCACTCTTGACTTGCAGTGGCTCTTCAAAGTCTCGGGAAGAAGTATTTCTCACAACCTTCTACCTGGTCCTTTTTAATCTAGAGATGCCGGGGTCTGAGCCTCATACCTTCTGCTTCCAAAGCATGTGCTCTACCACTGAACTCTATTTCTGGCTTTGGGGCACAACAACTGTTTCTGGATCTCTTCTTGCCAGAGATCTAGTCTGCAGATAGGTACAGGGATCAGTAGAACTCTGTAACGGTTCTCAACTACCTAGTTAGATCCTGCAAAGCAAATACCCTCTTTGGGTCCTATAGCGGATTCTGCTGGCATAGGGCAGGGAGCTGGCTCAAGTATGAGAGGGTGGACTGGAAGGCAGAGAGAATGGGATCAGAAACTGAAGAGTACCAAGGCATCAAATTTCTCCCCAAGTCTGCAGTTTTGTCCTAAAGTCTGCAGTTTTGACAGGCCTCTACTACATTGTTCTTCTAATGCCCACATTCTGGTAGCAGCCTGAAGTCTTATCTATAAGCAAGAGTTAAAATAATCTGTGCTAAGGAATTTGTGCAGTTCTGCAAGAGATGGGGAAGAAGTAGAGATAGTAACAAAGTGTATTTCGTGTCCTGACAGTCTCTAACTGAAAATAAGCTGCCTAGGTGTATTCTATTAAAATAGCTAAACACCTCTTCTGTACTTACCAAGGCAGGATGTGGTGTATTGAGTCACTTCTGCAAGTGCACACCAAACATTTAAAGCACATCTGTCCAAAGAATCCTGGGAATTGTAGTTTACCCTTCACAGAGCACAATTCTTGACATCCTTAACAAATACCTCCAGGATTACCAGGATTATTTGGGGCTAGAGGAGAATTTGCTTTAAATGTTTGGAGTATACACAACATCAGGCTGAAGTGTAGTTTCAATGCTATAGTCAAACTATTGTGTACTTAAGCATGGCTTGGATATAGGCTGAGCAGCTATAAAGCTGGGTTTCATTAAGTCTAAAGGCAGTCCTAATGTAGAAAACAAATTCCTCCAGCTGCAACTGGAGTTAACTACTATAAAATCTGTTGTGCATGCCAGGCTAAAGCTAAAGTAATTCATACAGGGGGCTAGAAGCTACTTGTCCATTAAAAATACACTTTGTTTCTGCTAGGCAAGGGGATATATGTGGGAATGTGCAGTTATTCTACATTCAGTTTCAACAGTTTAACAGGTCTATTAAACTTGGCAGTGTGTATAAAACAGAAAATATTCAGAACAATTTGAACACAATGGTATATCACAAAGCCACAGAGCTGGGCTTCTCATTCTGTGGACCTTGAAACATTGTAGCTCTTGGTGTTATTTTTATCTTTCTATAACTTGCTTTAGGTGGAAAATATTTTTAAGCCTAAGCTACTGCAAGCTCTTAGAACTTGAACCTCTGCGACATCTGGAATAATTTTCTGAATTAACAGTAATTAAATAAAATGATAATGGTGGTGGGGTGGTGATGATGATATTGTTAAAACTAAAAGTAGTTGCATTAGTAATAACAATAAAATTAAAAATAATAATGATATAAATAATAATTTAAAAGAATCAATTCAGCATTGAAAAAAACCAGTATTATTACTTTCTCTGGTTGAACAAGCCAACTTGCTCTTAAAACGAAAGTCACAAGTCAATGATAAAATATAATTAATATTCAAACCCCAATTTATTCAGAGATACAGTACAGGACACATCTTGAATGAGAATAGAGGGCACTGTTTTTCAGACATTTCATTCCCCTCAAGAAATCATTTTTAAATATTTGACATTTATAAGTACCACTGTAATTTAAAACAAATAGATTTAACATGATTTAAACAAGCTCCAGTAAGTTCAATAAGGCTCCCAGCCCATTGAAGAGACTGGCATACCTGTGCATTGTCTCTTATGAGTACTGGGACAGTTGCACATCTTACACAATGGCAAATGAAAGTTTCACACCATACACATATGAGTTGGAGACCTTGGCACTGGTGTATATGTTTTTGAAAAGTGACTATTTGTAAAGCAGACCTTAACAGCAGAAAGTGCTTTTATATGGGATTAGACAACAGCCTCTGCTTGAAACGTTAAGAGTATTGTTACGGACAGGGCACACATGCAGTGCTTCTATGAAGCAAAAGTCTTGAGGCAAGCTGCATCTACAAAGCAAGCTCACATTCACAGCTGCACTAGCAAAGCAAAGTTAATTTTGTAAGGATGCAGAGACAGGGAAGAAGTATACAGAGAAGGCTGCCCTAAACTATACATGAACAGGCTTTAACTTGCCACGAGGAAAAAAATAATCAATCCCTGCTAGAATCATGTTTGAGCTTGAAGGCAAAAGTAGAAAATAATGGGACAAAACTGAAATGCACCAGGAGGGGGTGCCCAGAAGTATATAATTGTGATTATTACTACTGCTACATACAAAGTATTTTGTACTGCAGACAGACCTAATTGTCCTTTGAGTTACTTCTATGAGCAAAGCAACCAATAAATATTATTAATAAGAGCAGTGCAGTAGTAGATATTTGCTTCTGGCCTTTAAGCCCTGCTTAACTGAGGAATACTTACATATCTGGTGGAAAGGAAGCTGGTTAGCAGAGCTGGAGCATCCTGCTGCCATGGCACTTTTGTGTAGCTTTGCCTTGCTAGCTTTGCCTTGCTAGAACTTTCACGGCCCCCACCCTATAGTCAGCTTTCATTTCCCCCCCATCTAAAAACTGTTATAAATGCTGAGGATGCTTGTTCATTGGTTGATGAGACTTACAACAATGGGAACAAAAAGACCATATAGAAAGAAACAGAGGCAGGCTAAGTAGATAAATGTTAGGCAAAAATATGAAACAATGAAGCTAAATGAGTGGATCAAGCAGTGTCGGATTTCTAGCTCCTTTCTTCGGCCTTTCCTCCTCAGTCACTAGGGAGCTGGAGCTTTTACCTCTGCCCACTGCCTCGACTTTATCCTTACCTCATGTCTCTGCCTACTTCACCTTCCTCTGGGCAGCCTGTCCCTGTTCCAATGTTAGCTACAGGTGGGAGGGTAGCGGGGAAAGAATGCCCTTGTGACATCAGCAGCCATTGTCTCAGGCTTCTCTCCTCCGTTCCTTAGGTGTGCAAAGAAATCTGAGTTGAGGGCAGGCTGCTGATGCCACAAAAGAACTGTTCCTCCCCCTTAAGCAGGGACACTTCCTGCTCTCCTGCCTAGTTACTAGGGGAATAGGGCATTTAGGTGGCGCTGTCTCCCAGCTCAAGATCACAAGTTCCCCAAGAAGTCTTTAGCCTTCCCCCGCTCAGTTTTCTGAAGAGAAGTTGTTCAGGAGGAGGTTTGAGCAGAAGGAGGGACTCCTTCTCAGGACACTAGTCCCGCTCCCCAAATCTCTTGCCTTCCCAATCCCCACCCCTTGCCACCTCCACTGAAATGGTTCAAAGGAAGGAAGGGGAGTGGGGAGAACCAAGCATATGTTTACAGAAACGTTAGTGCTTATATGCTTATCATCATACTACACGTGACATTTGCAGGATGCAGATGGCTTTACATGACCTTGTTTTCACAATCCTGTAACTACTTTCAGTTTATTGATTAAAAAATACTTTAGTGGTCCTTTTGACTCCTATCGTCTTCTCCCACAACTTAACTTGCCTTCATATTCCCTCCTCTCCTTCTTCTGTCCTGTCTCTCTTTATATATTTGTTTGTGTGTGTGTGTGTCTTTTCTATGGTAGCAGGGTAGAAAGAGGGGCATTCTATATGGGGAAGATAAGTACTAGTGTAGGCTTGTTTTGGGCTATCACATGCTATATAATAAACAACATATAACATTCTTTCAAGAGCAAGAACAACAAGGTTCCTTCCTTTCTCTCCAACCATTCTTACCATATGCAACAGGATTCTGAAATATTTGGATCTGAACATCCAGATGCTCCACATCCCCTCTACCATTCCACCACCATTTCACCATTTGTGTCAAGCACAGTATCTTATCTCACTACTTCAGTACTCAAGTCATGTGATCATTAGACGATATCAAAGACTAGCAGCATCTTGAACCATTTCCATAGAACAGTTTCTTTTCACATTAATTTACAAACATTTACCAAAACAACGCTAGCCACTTTCAGCACTGTGTAATGGAAAAGTGTCTTGTCCTACTGAGATGTCCTGAATTTATGGTTTAGTAAATTATATACAAGATTAAACTCAGATCTGTATCACAGGATATTTCATAACCTCTTTCCTCCCCAGGGCATAATAGCAATATGATGCCTGTCTATGCCACATCATTATTTTCTTGAAGATCAATTACTTCACAGAGTCATTTACACTACCACACTGAAAACAAAAATGTATTTTTTATTCTGGTGGATATGACAAATAGAATTTAGATACAGATATTAGAAAGGTTTGTTGCTGACTTGAGGGATGGCTACACAATCCCACTGACACATGTGGGGAGCTGATTGTAGACATTAAAACAGTTGTGTGGAGCCCCAATTCCACAGATGCATTTCAACAGCACCCCTACTGCTGTGTCTTAATTGGGCCTCACTTTGTAAAAGATGTGCCACATGCACAGAGAAGCAGCAAACATAACAGTGATGATGCCTTCAAGCAAGTACAGAACATTTTCACAACATGATGCTGCTCAGACAAGTAATCCAATCCATGTATTCCAAGGGAAGGAAATCACTTCCCTCCCACCACGTTCACCAGCCTGGAAGTGGGGGAAATCCTTCCCCTTCCCAAGTGTAATGATCAATGAGAACACTGACAGGCAACCTTTATGGCAAAAGCACCACAAGTCAGGCAGAAAGTGTGAGACAGTGCAACACTAGCATACCTTTCAAGACATAGGCTACTTCCTGAGTTTGGGGTGATTTTGGCTCCTTTCTATAGTCAAACCTAATAGTTCTCTATTGGACAGTGTTCTCGAAGTTACTAACATGAGTTTGACCAAACTGCAGGAGGCAGCGGAAGACAGGAGTGCCTAGCATGCTCTGATCCATGGGGTCACGAAGAGTCGAACATGACTAAACAACAATAGCTCTCTGGCTATTGTCCAGAAATGCCACAAACTCTGACACTAGGTGCAACCATGCCACAATTTGGCCACCCACTTATGAGCATGAATGCCTATCCTGACATTCTAACATGTAGGCTCTACTCAACAAAAGGCTTCTAGTTACACTTTTCTAGATACAGCAGTTTTAAATGCCTCAAGAAATCTTGGGAGGCAGAATGAAGGCTATATATATCCCACTTTCCCCCTCCACAAAAGGAGGTGCTCAAACCGGCTTTCACAAACAGAAATGCAAAACATAAAAATAACAATAATCCAATAATTAAAACAAATGATCAAACTAAAAACTGCACCAAAAAACAAAGCACAAAACCACATCACTCACAATACTACATTTTATAATGCCCTTATTTCCCACCACAGAGCAAACAACAGCACAGGATGTGTGCTTTTGACTGAAGTATGGTGCAGTAGGAAAAGGGGTGAATAGACTTCCCAAGTGCTGCTTGACCAATCCAATTGGCAGCCTCACTTCAGTTACATTACATTAGAAAATAAAACATTAAAAGTTCCAATCACACAGCTCCAAAGTCATGCGTAGTTTTGCCCTCAGTACCCTGTGGGCCATATTTGAGAAGTCACTGTGGGACTGGAAAACCTTTGCTGAAATAACCCTGAGAGAGAGAGGCTTATAGTTCACCCAAGCCCTAATAAAGCAACATGATTCTGACAGGTCTATACCCCATTCACCTATTTTTAGTATTCTCATCAGGCATTTCTTCATTTCCCCCATTAATCAGTTATCAGACTCTTATGTCTCAGTCCATTCTCCCCTTCCCATAAGAAAAGAGGAACAGAAGAAATTCTAATGATATTTTATTCCATCATGGCAAAAAAACAATACCTAAATGATATCATCACATTGCACTCAGTTACTCCACTGTAAATTAGCCTTCGGAGAGTTGCTTCAGCTTTACACCAAAATCTCCTGCTTATATCTCTTTAACCAAAGCTGCTCATTTTATGATCAGCTCAAAGACCAAGACTTCCGGCCATTTGTTCACTTACTAATGCTCTAATATTCTATAGGCCTCATCCTGGAATTACACAGTTCTATCCAATGCAATTAAGAGATTTCTGAATATAATTCTGTCTAAGTTTGCATACTGGAGCACATCCATGATATAGCCTAGGGGGGAAAGCAACAACCTATTCCCCCCACCCATTACCATTCTGTAACAATGTCTTTGCTGGTTCAATCTCACATACTGCCCCCTACAGGATGGGATGTTATTTGCCACACTTGCTTTTGCAGGCTGCCAAAGGTTATGTCATTCTTGGGTGCCAGTGCTATAAGGAGATTAGAGCAGAGGAAAGTGGGAAAGGAAAATGAAAGACCTTGCGGGAGAGGGTAGAAGGTGACTGGAGGGCAGAGGGAGGCGTGAAAAGCAAAAGGGAGTGACAGATTTAAAAAAGAAGAGAGATCAATATTGGGAAGATTAAAGGAGAAAGAGGTAAAATTGAAAGCAGAGGGAAACAGACCACCACAGCAAACATATAATTTCCCCCTCTGAACAGTACGTTCACCTTCAGCATTTGCCTTAAGCAAATGATATTGTTATTACAGTAGATGACTAGCTCATCTCCGGTACAAAGTAAAATCCATCCCTACTGTAAAAGATCAGTTTCCAAGCAATGTCTTCCAGGAAAATATTCCCACCACATTCCAAAGTCAAATGATGCTGCAGAGATTGTTTTTATTTACTCAAATATAAATCTAGACATACAAAATCATTTGCCAAGGACACAGAGGTCTGGCCTAGACTGGGCTATATTTCCCTCCCCTCAAACACTGTGTATGAATAACCCCACATTTTTAATAAGCTCATTCACTAAAAACAAAATATCATTTTAAAAAATAAGAGATTCCAAAATCTTAGCCAGCAGCAACTCCGAATTGCATAGCCTGTTAACATGACAAATAACCTATTTGGTTCTTTCAGCCCAACCCTTAAGACAGTCTTTAACACAGAGGAACAAGAAAGTACAGTGGATACCAAAAGAGCCCATTAAGCACAACTGACTTTTTCTTGGCACACTTTCTTAATGCCTTTCCTGATACGGTTAAAAATTAGTCACTATGAATGTTTTTTTAAAAAGAATAAGCAAAGCTCTATATCCACATTGGGAAGAGCTACAAGGACGTTCAAGATTTCAAAACAGGCAGCTCTGTTTCTTCACCATCACACCTGGCTCTTCATTTCACAGTACAGTATATATTACTTATTTTTAGAACACTAAAGACAGTAAGCTTAAAGAATGCATACTTAGAAATAAGGTCTGTATTAAAGATAATAGTATTTTCTCCCAAAAGCGTTCAGCATTAGGCAGCAGCAGTAATAAGAATGTCTAGTTCAGACATTCACCTTGGTAAAACGTAGGTTGTATAGGTAATGAACACTTTGTTCTCCTCTAAACAAAACAGTATAAAAAGAGAAGCATATCCTCAATTGGCCATCTGCTGATCCTTAACAGTATGCAAAGTGCCTTCCTCCTCATGCTCTTATATGGAAATTTAGATGGTGCTGCCTCAAAAGTCTGTATCCTTCCCTTTTGTTAAATGATCACACACAGAGATGAATATTCATCACCTTAGTGCTGCCTTCTGATCCCAGGAACAGCGGTGGAAATCCAGAATCACTTTATTGACACTGAAGTGTGCTGGAGATTCGGTTCTTGCCAGCAAACTTTCTAAGAGTATCACAATCCCTTTCCTTTCACCACTCCAAACCCAAAGAAAATGAATGAACGAGTGCACAAGAGGGCAACTGCAGTCCAGTTAAAGATGTACAGTACTAACACCAACCGTGTAGCAATGCTAGCGCTTGCCTTTTCTGGTAGATTTTTAGTAGCAGAGAACAGCGCTGTTTAAATACAATTTAATCGCACACCGCACAGAAGAGGAAGGGAGTGAGGAGGGCCAAGCACATGCTCACCACACATACAAAGGAAGAAAACGCACTAAAACCAGGAGGAAAGCGTTAGCCGCACCAGCAGCCAATTCCACTTCGCTGCTATCTGTTATTTAAAAGTTAACACAAGGTGTCGGAGGGCGACGGCGGGGAAAAGCGGTAACTGCTGAGAGATCCCATACAGCCAAATCAGAAAGGTGCACATGCATGCACGTTTTAAAGGGGGGGGGGACACCAGACAAAAGGAAAACCGCCATGCGCTCGCTCACTCGTTCGCTCTCAAAAAAAAGCACAGAAGCAATGCATCCTAAAAGTAAATAGCAAAGGACTAATACAAATCTCTAAGGAAGGGGGAAAGGGATAGGGGGTCGGATAAGGGAAGGTAGGAGGGTGGGTGGGCTTCTCAGCCTACGGTGAAACCTGGCCAAAAAAATCCCCGACCCCCTGATGCCAGGATTTCTTGCTTCCCACCTTGGCTGAGGGATGCCCCTTAGAAAGAGGAAGAAGCGTTTCTTTTCTTCAGAGTAGCTCCCCGTTTTCCAGTAAATGACAAGAGGCGATCCATATGCCTCCGACTCCCTTTGTTCCTAAACGCTACGAGGGAGAGCGGAAAAGAGAGGGAAGGAGAGCGAGGAAGAAAGGGAGAAAAGGGAGCCACCGACAGAGAGAAAGCAGAGCCGCGAAGGCTGGGCTTAGGTCCTTCCCTGTGTGCCTTTGCTCTCCCAATATATATGTAATAATATATATCTATATCAAAAAAATCCCTCGGAAAAGGAGCCTCGGGTACCTGTAGCAGCGGCACCCCTCTGACCAGGTATCTGTCCAGCGCCTTAGCTGCCCGTGGGTCTGTCCCGTGTGTCCCGGGGAGAGTGCCAAGGCGGACTAACAGGGCTGCGAGGGAGGAAACGGTAATTTATAAGCGCTTTCTTCCTGACCTCTCGTGTCTGTTGTCTAATGAGCGAGCGCCGAGCATCACCCATCCTGCTGAGTGGAAAAACACCAGCTCGGCCTCGTCTTTGGCGGGGGAGGCGGGGAGAGGGAGGAGGGGGGAGCGGGAAGGAGGGGCCATCTTTCCGTCAGTCTCTTTCGACACACACGGGGGGGCGGGCGGGGAGAGGGAGGAGGGGAGGCTCGGCTGGCAGGCGGCCCGGAGGGCTGCGCGAGGCGGGGAAGGGCCGCCACAGGCGCGGGGAGGAGGAGGAGGTGGGAGCAGCTGCCTGGCCGGGAAAGAGAGCCAGCAGCTCCGGGCGTGTGCCAAGGAGGCGGGAAAGTCGCGCCTTTATTCCCCCCCTACTCCTATTCCCCCCCCCTCTCCACCCGCACCCCCCGGCGGGTGAGAGAAAAGGAGAAACGGCGCGCGCGCGCTCGACAGGAAAATGGGGGGGGGGGGTGGCAGGTTAACCGTCGAGACTGCCGTTGTGAGGGCGCTGCAGAAGGGGGCTTCCTCTCTCCCTCCCGCCCTCTTTCCCCCTCCTCAGGCTGTGAGGAGGCGCACCAACGCTATAATTTCGACTCCCCATGCTCTACAACGCGAAGGTTTCTGCCTCCCCCCCCCCTCAACTTCCCAATCCCAGTTTAGAGAGAAGGGGGAGCGGGGTAAACAGAAGAAGAAGAGGGCGCCATTTCGCAAACGGTCGCAAAATCCCGGTTTGCCGCCGGGCGTCGGTTGCCTCAGTGCGGAGCGGCCGCCCCAACGCAGCTCCCCCATTGGTTGCGCCGGGCGCGCGCCCGCTCTCAAACACGTGTTCGCCGCCTTCCTTGCTTCGGTGGGGGGTGTAGGCTTGAAGCACCGAAGTGTGTGGGCTGTGGGTCTGAGTGGGCTTCAGTGAACCCGCTCCAATTATTATTATTAAAATTATATACCGCCCTTTATCCGAAGATCCCAGGGCGGTGTACAACATCAAAAACAGAATTTGAATTGCATAATAATAAAAGACAATAAAACAATAACGGGGGGGGGGAATCTTAATAACATCCCCCCCACACACATATTTTAAATGCCATAGACCAGTGATTCCCAATTAGCTACGTACTGCAGACCCTGATTTTTAAAAGCCAAGCCATGGGCCCCACACTTTTGAAAATATTATCTCTAAGGTAGTTTAGTTATTTGAATGGTGCCATGGATCCCCTGGGTGGGTTACGTGGACATCCTGGGGTCTGCGGACCACCAGTTGGAAACCATTGCCATAGATGGTTTAATGACCAAAGGTCTGGATAAAGAATGTTTTTGCCTGGCACCTAAATACCAGTACATATAATGATGGCTCCAGGCGAGCTTCTCTAGGGAGAGCATTCCACAGATAATTCCAATGCAATAAAATGAATTGTATGCAAAATGTGTATGTGCTTTAAGTGCATTTTTTTCCGGGGAGAGGATCTATAGCTTTCATCTGATTCTCAAAGGGGCATGTGACTTCTACCCAACCCCCCATGTTAAGAACCGGTGGTCTAAAGTGTATGTCCAATAGTAGTGAGTTGAGGTGTATAGTTGAAGGAAACTGGATGGCCACCAACTTGGGTGGTTTAGACAAATAACTGGAGGATAAGGCTATCAACAACTCGCCATGATGGCTATGTTTCACCCGCGTTGGAGGCCTCTAAAGACCAGTTGCGCAAGTAGGGGGAATGCAGTTGTGCTCATGCCGTAGCTGGCATCCTACGGGCGTAGGGTTGGCTGCTATGAGAACAGGAAACTGCACTAGATGGGCCTTTGGTCTGATCCAACAGTTCTCTAATTATGTTTCTTGCATGCTAGTTCCTTTTTACCTATTGTAAGACCTTGGTGGGCAAGTCACTCTCTCTTCACTTATTTTACCTCGCAGGGTTATTGTGGGATTGAAACTTGTTCATTGGAGGACAGAGAAATCACAAATAATAAATCTATTTTAAAGTCTTACAAATAAGTCACTTGAAACCACAATACTTAATTTGAGATGATCCTGTTCTAAGAATTTTAAGGTCATATATAAAAAAATTAAATGTTCATAACTGTATATATAAACCACATGCCTGAAACCCCACAGATTAGGTCCTGAACAAATTGACCTCAATTTCTCTGCAAGGTCAAAGTGGAAAACTTCCCCATTGTCTTTCCTCACAAATCCTGTCTTAAGGGCACATTCAAAATACGAACAGGGTGTGAGCCTGTGACCTGTGACCTAGATTCAGGAATTAAGTAGTTATAATAACAAAAGAGTGCCCAAAACCCAGATAATGCAATTAGGTAACTTGCCAGACAGGAGATAATGCACTCAGATTTCTGTTGTAGACCGCCTTTTCTGTGATGTAGGGACGATGTATCGGGGGGTGGACTTGGGCTACACCGCTTCTCTGATGTATGTATGATGTTTCTGGGGGTGGTCTTGGACTCCAGGGCGGGCAATTTAAAATATCTATGTAAGGGTGGTCACACCTTTGCTCTGGGTCCTCCTGTCTCCTGCGTGTGGGGGAGCACCCTGTTGCAACAGTTTCAATAAAAATCAGGTTTGCTAGCTGCTTTGCTTCTCAATATTCTCTGGTTGGTCTCTGTTATTTTCTCCTACCGATAGAGAACCTACAAAAGGACTCTATATGGGCTCTTGGGTACCCCATAAGGAAAAAGGAGCAGGTTTTTTTTCTTATATCAATCCCAACCTTGGTTCCTATTTTCAATACCATGGCTCAGTCCTGCAGCATGTGATTTGTTTATTTTTTAATTGCCGTTCATGTGCCCAACCAAATATTCATATTTTTTTATATAAAAAAAATTATTGAAGCATAATGACCATTACTGACAGCCCAAAAGTACAGTAGCGGGCTATTACATCATGCCATAGTAGCACACCAATATATATTTCTTGAGCTGGCATGGATGATTGTTGGGCATTGGAATCTGAAGCATAAGAAATAAAATCCTACCAGATAACACTGAAGCATTCTGGGTCCTCTATCCCTCTGGAGACCTGAAATTTATGTGTTCTTTTTCCCTCCAATAACTAAAGTTCATAAGTTTTTATGCCACAAAGATAAATGTCAATTTTTCAAAGTTTTCCATTGCTGGCTTATTGGAATCCTAGCAGCAGCTAGCATCCATGTCAAAAGTTCTTCAGAGCAACACACTTTCCTGTTATCAAGACTTCAATAATGACAGTTGTGAGGAAGCCTGAACAGGTGATAGAATTATTTTAGATGTTTCATGACATACTTGAGACCAAAGTAATGAAACCCAAGAGCATTCCCACTAAAGATGGGGAAATATCCTTCAGAGGCCGCATCCCTACCAACAGGCAGAAGCTTTGCTAGATGCATCACGTAACTACAGTCCACACACATCTGGGATGACAGCTTCCAGGGAAGAGGGTGTGCAGGCATGGACTTGACATCAGTTCAAATGAATCATTGTTTGAGATCACCCCCCTATATCAGCCCTTTCATCCTCACTCAGTGATGTAAGGGACATCTGGTAATTTTGTTGAGATCAGACCAATAAGGGGGGGGGGGGATCAGTGCCATGTACCTTTACTTAGAAGACTTTGCCAGTATGTGAGTGTGACAAAATGGGAAGGACAGAGAGATGCAGTCTGCCACAGATGCAAATGTGGAACACAAAAATAGGGAAGCAGCCTTCTTCAGAAAAATGAAAGTGCAAAGTTACCACAATAAACACAAAGTCAAACAAAGAAAGCTGAATTTTCTGATAGATCACAGAATGCTGAGGAGTAGATGCACTTCTCCTGAGATTACAATAATAAAAGGTTGCAGGCCTTTGCTTGAAAAACTCCACTTCAGCTCTTTACAAAGGGATGGTCCCAGCGCTTGGATTAAGGGAGATGTATTTTCCACAGAATCCCCTTAACCTTTATATCAGCTGCCTTAACTACTGTTTTTAGAAGGTTGTGTGTGTGAATGAGAGTGATAAATTGGCTAAAGCAGGAGTGAACCAGGGATTGGATCTTGTCAATGGTATTAGCTTCATTCTCCCCTGCCCCCCACAATAATCTGGACACTGAGCAACCATCAAAAATAAATAAACGATGTAACCAGACAAATCAGAAATCATCTCTGTTTAGGTGATGGATATGGTTGGAAAGAAAGCAGTCGAGATCAAATCATTAGGATTTCAATCTTGCTGAAAGATGAAGAAAACGACAGCCGAAATGATCAGGGGGTTGTAGCAAACTCCCCTGAACATTACACTGTGATCAGAGGCTTACCTAGACAGCTTTCAAATGGTAGACAAGTGAATGAAGGACTTTGTTTATTTTTGATAGAATGATTCTTATTTAATAGAATTTACATACCACTTAATCACCAAAACCTCTAGGTGTATGGTAACTCCAGGATCAGAGAGAGCCTGTGTCTGAATACCAGCAGCTGAGGAATATTAGTGAGAGAGAGTTATTTCCCTCGTGTCCTGCATGTGGTCTGATGTAATGGTTAGGATGTTGGCCTAGGAGTCAAGAGACCAAGAGTGAAATCCCCACTAGACCATGAAGCTCACTGGGTGACCCTGAGCCAGTCACTGCCTCTCAGCCTAACCTACCTCACAGAGTTGTTGTGAAATAAGGAGGGAGAAGAACCATGTGCACCACCTTGAGCTTCTTGAGAAATGGGTGAAATATAAATGCAATAGATAGATGGGTGGTCCTTAAGATCTCTTAACCCTTTGCTCTGGCCTTGGAGATGGCTACAGCCCTGCAAGAGGCAGATATGATTGCACTGAAAAGGCATCACGGCATGCAGGAATTTTGCTGTGTTGTAAAGGAACAGATCTTCCATCCCGCCCCCTTAATTTTGTTTCAGTTCTCTTGTTTCATTGAATTCAACATGTAGATGTAAAAAACAATCAGGCTACTTTGAGGCACCAATGCATAAGAGGAAACAAAGATGTTTTGGAATCAAGAGTGCATAATAAACAGTACCTGGAACTGAGTAAAGTAATAATAATAGTAATAATCAATCTTGTATGACACAAGATTGGGTACTGGTAGTCCTTGTTTTGTTAAACAGAATCATACAGCGGAGTCCTTCAGGATGATAATATGAGTGTTGACTTACACTGTAGGGCTCCCATTCTAAAAATTCCTGTTCATGAGCACAGTGGTCCAAATCAGTAAGGCCGAGAACACTAAAGTGCTTCTTCCAATTGAACTGTGTCCCATTAATATTTGCACCCTTAAATACCACCAAAGTAGTTTAGGAGTAATTCCTACTGGGTTGTGCTTGCTTTACAATTTGCCCATCAGGTTGTTTCCACCTGTAAGGCTGGAGCATTGACACACATTTCCCAGCAATTTCAGTTTACACCATGGGGAAGCACCTCCTACATGACTGGGCATATGTGGAAAAGGGGCCTGAGTTTCCCTGAAATATATAAATATGTTGAGTGGTCCCAGGGCCGGACCTACTATTAAGCAGAGTGAAGCAGTTTCTTCAGGCAGCAGGTGCATTGTTTTTGCTGCAAGAGACTTGATTTTAAGTTGGTGCCTAGGACCTGGTATGAGATGTAAGGGTTGTTGAAGTGACTGGGAACAAAGACCATAGTGCTATAAAATTCAATATATTTCAAAATTCAATATATATGTAAACGGACAATTCCAAACCCTGCACAGAATCCCAACACGGTCACATTTGACTTCAAAAGAGGAAACTTCCCAAAAATGAGGGAATTGGTAAAAAGGAAGTTGAAAGGGAAAGCCACAAAGGCCACATCTGCAAAACACTTGGGGGTTGCTTAAAACCACAATATTAGAAGCTCAGCTAGATGGTATACCACATGTCAAGAAAGGTACCACTAGGGCCAAGAGGATGCCCACTTGATTAATGAGAAGAGTCAAATAGTGAAGATAAAATATGAAGTTCTAGGCCAGGGGTAGAGAGCCTCTGGTCCACGTGCCTATTTTCACCTGCCATGGGGTCCAGTTGGGTTCACAAGGCCATTTTCCTGAAACAATGTCCACCTGTCAATCAGCTGATGTCACTCCCACAGGGAACTGGGCTAGACAGGCTTTTGGTCTGGTCCAGCAGCTCATCCACTGGGAAATATTCCTCTAGAGTAGATCGAGCCCATTGAGTGAGCCAAAGCAGCTCCTTTCCTATGTGATCGGTTTTGATAGTTGTGCTCACTTTGTTGATACCATTATGGATTTCCAGTCGCATGGACCCTGCTCTTCTAAAAGATTATCAAAGTAAGCAGCTGACTGGATTCTGTTGAAAACGGCAGTAAAAACAAGTCAAATACTATGAGCAGCAAGATAAAAAGCAAATATGTCTTAAATCTTGTCAATATAAAGAGCCCATTGAAATAAAAGTTTTCACTTCCTGCCGAAAGACAGATAAAAATGGGACTAGGCAGAGCCATCTTGAGAGCACGATCCAGAACCACAATAGAAAACACTCTGCCTTTGTTGCCCCTTATTAAATCAGTCACCTAGATTTCTGTTTTTGGTCAGAATGTGAAATGTAAGTAAATAAACGGTAGGATTTATTTGGGGTAGTGTGGGGAGTCTGTACCTCTTGAATATTCACTAAGCAAAAGGGTGTGTGTGGAATGCAGTAAACACTTACCTTGGTGGAATCTAGCCACACAAGGCAAAAACAGAGTTTGTTGCAGGGATTACATTCCTATGGAGTCGGTTTGGGTGTTGAGCTACCCCCAGTTACAACAAAGTGGTCTGTATGCAAAGACTTCCAGCTGACTGAGGTTTTTGCACCATAGGAATGTTCTTCGAAAGGTTATCCTAGGTCAGGGCAACTGCATGGTGGGAGAAGGTCACCAATCCTTCCCAAATTTAAGCCTCCCCCCTCAAAAAAGTGTTTTGTTACACCTTGGAAATTTCAATTGATTGACTCGAAGGACTTAATGTTTTCAAAGGTAAGTATAGAAAAGTCACCTACAGCTGTGTTTTGAATAGTTTTTGTTAATTTCCAAATGCAGTTATTTATAGGTTATCATAAAAATATGGACCACTTGGAAGCTTGCCTAATGTGTTAATGAACTTAGATTTTTTAAGGACAAGGGCTTTAGCCTGAGGGAACAAATTGTGGCAATGCATTGAATTGTGGGTATGCATTGAATTCAGCTTGGCAAACAGGGCTTCGCACAGCAATGTGACACAGTTAACTCTTGCGTAGTTATGCCTTTTAGCTTCACTTTGAAATAATAGCCCCTCCCTCCCTGCCTGCCATCCTACAAACAGATACAAATCTGAAAAGGAAGGACATCCATTTGATGAAATGGGCTCTGACTTATGGAGAATTATGGTATATTACAGTAGTTGTTGTTTTGTGCTGTAATGTAATAATATAGAATTTAATAAATTGTCTTTCTTGTTTCCCTTCCACATGTGTAATCCCTTTACTACAATGACATTTATAGCAGCATACATTTTGCACGTAAAACGTCCCAAGATCAACACCCAGATACTATTATTAAATTATTATTATTATTTCATCTCTATACCACTTTATATTTTCAAGAAAAAAACCTCAAAGCGGTTTACAACCTACATTAAAATATCAAATAAAACAATCCAGAATAAAACATTGCTGAAGAAAGTCAAATACCTGTATAAAGTATGCATTCAAAGCAACATAATTCACAGGAAACTTAAAATTTTATTTTAAAGATATCAAAATAAAACATTACAAAGGAGGTCAACTACAGAATGCACATTTAACACAGCAAACTTAGCAAAAAAAATTCAAAAGAAAAGAAAACATTACTACTGGAGCTCAAATATGAAGTGCACATTTAAAACAGCATAATTAGAATAAATTAGAATAATATCACCATAAGCACAGAATATATCTGGTGCTGTTGCTGCCAGTCCTGCCCATGATGGCTCATGGCAGGCTGCAGCTGTGGAAGCTCAGGCTCGATGACCTGGGTCTGCACTAAGAGACAGCCAAGGTGGTCTCTGACTTCCTCAGTAGCCTCAGCTTTTGCAGCTGGAGTCAGTCAGGGCCCTGCCCTCCCAGGCCAGGTGGAAAAAGGCCTGCAAGGCAGGCAGCAGGTCTTCCAGGACTCACAGCCCAGATTGGTCCAAGGTAGGGTACAGAAAGATTCTTTTCTGGAACCTTAAAGGTAAAGGGACCCCTGACCATTAGGTCCAGCTGTAGCCAACTCTGGGGTTGCGGCGCTCATCTCACTTTATTGGCCGAGGGAGCCGGCGTACAGCTTCTGGGTCATGTGGCCAGCATGACTAAAGCCGCTTCTGGCGAACCAGAGCAGTGCACAGAAATGCCATTTACCTTTCCGCCAGAGCGGTACCTATTTATCTACTTGCACTCTGACGTGCTTTCAAACTGCTAGGTTAGCAGGAGCAGGGACAGAGCAAAGGGAGCTCACCCTGTCTCGGGGATTTGAACCACCGGCCTTCTGATCAGCGAGTCCTAGGCTCTGTGGTTTAACCCACAGCGCCACCCGTGTCCCCTCTGGAATCTTAGAGAGCCACTAAGTCAGTATAGGTAGCATGGAGCTGGATGGACTAATGGTCTTCCTTCCATATAAGCCGATTACTTGATTTCCTTATTCTATATGAATCTCCATAGGTGTGGATTGCAGACAGAGCCATCTGGAAGTGCCCATTATGCTTTCACCTTTAAAATAATACATGCTTTCTTAACTGTTTTGTTAGGCGAAAGTAGAATTGCTTTTGCAAAGTGGTTTGTGCCCATGAGCTGTTGCCCTAACATTACAAGAAATCTAAATCAGCAAATGCCATGATCCAGTGGGCACTAGTTATGTCTGTCACACTGGAATCAGTGGAGCTAAATTCAGGTCTATCTATACATGTCTTTCCATGCAACTGAAGAAGAGCTGTTTACTGTTGCAGATTAAATGGTTGCATTGAATTGCCCTCTTCTTTGTGGAGAAGACAGGTTGTTAATAAATACCCCCTATTGCCTTGCCTTAAGTGAGGAGAAATGCAGGATGCCGCCTTTGAAAAAGGCACTCTGCCGACCAATTAGAACAGAAGGAGTCATATCCTGTCCTAGAGCCATCCAGCAGTGTGGCAGCATTAAAATGTCAGTGCTAATTTATTCCCAGAAATCCTTTTATGGAAATGGGTTTCCATGAAAACTAGAATAAACTCTGCTGTTCTGGAGTTAGGCATTTGTGTTGTGTGCATGTTTATTAACTGAATGTTCCATCCGTGGTTGTTGTTGTTGTTCCCTTTTTTAAAAATCAAGTCTTCCTTCCTCTAGGCGCCTGCTGGGTTGCTTAACAAAAGGCTTGAGAGCATTTTTGCTACGTCTGCAGCACCTGCGGTTCAAAGATGTACCTGCCTGGTGAGAAATGGCTTTTTGGAACAAAGGTGCCAGGCCTCCATTAATTCTTTTCACCAAGCTTATGCCCTGCTTTTCCTAATTTTCCTGTATTTTCCATGACTACCAAGGTCACACCAGTTATATCTCCCCTCCAGGTTATAAAACTAATCACAGGACTCTGAAGTGGAAGGAAGAATTGCATATGCGGAAGGAGGATTTCGTAAGAGGCGGGTCAGCTGCGGTCCCCTCGTCTCCTGCAAAGGCAGCTGCTTGCGTGGGAGAGCATGGCTGCTGCTGTACGAAGTATTAAGTACCTTATATTTTGTAAAACGCCATTTTAAGACGTGACGGCTCTCAAATGACAGGCGTCCCTTTTTGAAAACATGATGGGAATGCGGAATCGGTTGCATTGGTGAGAGCTGCTCCCTGCTCTTTCTCACTTCACTTTCAGAATGTGCCTTTTTATTTATTTATTCCTGCTTCTAGGAGGTGCTTGTGGTTGCTTATCTTAAATACAAAATACCGACAACAATAGCAGAAATCAGCAAATCCAGTAAATGCTCCACATATCATCAAACCTGAACTGGAGAGAGACATACAGGCCCAACCCAGCCTGCCTTTGACAACTGTAGTGGTTTTTCCACTTCCTTTAAAAAGAAAAGAAGAAGAAACACCAGCTGAGATGTTCACAGCACAAACGATACAGTGGTACCTTGGGTTAAGAACTTACGGTAATTCGTTCTGAAGGTCCGTTCTTAACCTGAAACTGTTCTTAACCTGAGGTACCACTTTAGCTAATGGGGCCTCCCGCTGCCGCCGCACTGCCATTGCGCGATTTCTGTTCTCATCCTGAAGCAAAGTTCTTAACCTGAGGTACTATTTCTGGGTTAGCAGCGTCTGTAACCCGAGGTACCACTGTACTGTGATATGTCATTCCATAGCTTTAGGGCTATAGTTGTAAAAGGCCTGTCCCTTGCTGCCTATGACCTAGCTTATTGTGAAAAGTGGAAAGGCAATGCAGGGTCTTAGGCCATGTGAACAAGTTTGGTGTTCAGTTGGGATACATCTTTATCTCACCAGGGAGGAGGAGATTAACCTTACTGCCTCTGAACATAACAATAAAATCCTCAAGTGGGGAAGAAGTGTTCCAGGTGCCTCCCTTAAGTTATGAGAGGTAGGCTTCTACAGTTAACTAGAGGGAAGGGCCTTCCTAACAGTGGCACCCAAAATACAGAATACAGACTTCTGTGAGGGCTGTGTAGTACTCTCCCTGTTGACCACTTGGAAGCTCCTTAAGGCTTACCTTATTATAACTTGTTCTATTTGGCCAGGTCTTCAGGCAGTAGATTTTTGTCTTCTATGCTTCAATTCCTGCTTCATAGACATGATAATATTTCAGTAGACTGCATTGATATTTTAAGAGGGGTGTGTGTGTGTGTGTGTGTGTGTGTTTACCATTCTGTACACAATAGTTTTAGATCGGGGTGGGGAACCTGTGGCCCTTCAGATATTACTGGAATCCAGATACTATCAGTCCTAGACAGCATCGACAACTATCAGGAATGGTGGGAGGTCCACAGTCTCCCTGTCCCTGGCCTACAGCTTCTGACAGACTTGTCCTCCTTTCAGTTTTCCTAATCTCCTTCTAAAGCCATGTAATCCAGGGCCATCAGCACACCTTGAAGCAAATTCCATAAATGAACCATGCTTTGTTTGAATAAATATTTGGGTCTGTCCTGAATCTGCTGCTGACAAAATCTAGATGGCCAAAGTTTCCTCATCATTTGTTTTAGACAAATGATTTAATAAGCCACCTTGTGCACATAATATTATTGAGTGAAATAAGATAAATATACAACGTTTACACAATATAAATAAATAAATGATACCAGGTTAGTTATGACTCCTTCCCTTGGCACCTCTACAAATACTGTAACACCAGACAATCACCTGTGTAGGGGTGGGGAGCCTCTGGTCCTCCAGGTGTTTTTGGACTTCCACTCCCAGAAGCCCCAGATAGCATGGACTACTGTCAGGAATAATGGGTGGGCCACATTTTCCCTGCAGCTTTGGATAGATTTATCCTCTATTCAGTTTTCCAAATTTCCTTTCAAAGCTATCTAACCCAGGACTATCAGCACATCTTGTAGCAAATTCCATAAATGAATGGTGCTTTGTTTGAAGAAAAGCTTTATTTGGGTCAGTCCTGAACCTGCTGCCCAACAATTTTGTTGGGTGACTCCCGGTTCTAGTATTAAGAGGAAGGGGAGAGAAGATTATCACAATTTGCTTTCTCCATACCGTGTATATCTTTATCAACTTATATGTCCTTGACTGACTATGCCGTTCTATTCTCATCCAGTCACCCCCTTTCAGGATATATCTGCTGACCCGTTAGCTGTCCCTACAACACTGAGCTGTGGACTTGTGAACTAATCAAACACCCACAAACCACAAAGGAGCAATGGCCATGGTAATCCCTGGTGGGCCCAATGACGGACCAGTGATCATCACAGGTGGCACAGTCCTCAAGAATGACTGCCACGTATAATAACTGCACTAAACCAGATTCCTATCTGGATGAGACTTTAATTCAGCTATCTGGCCAGTAACCAACAGTTGTAGTGAGCAACGGTGGACTTTAATCTGTCACATTCACCACTGCCTGTTGAGCTGATGATGAAGCTATCCTGAAAGCATGCTTTATATGTGCAAATGTCTTATCTCCAAGAATGAGAAAAGAGCAGCAGCGATTCCTTGAAATCAATTAAAGCTTTGCCAGTGGGCTTCAGGCTGCACCCATACTGCATACCAGCCAGTCAGGGGTATGCAAAAGATTTGGACAAATTCCAAATCAGGAGCCAACATGGGATTTCTCCAAAGTACACAGAAACAAAGTGGGGATGTGAGACGTTTCAAAATGGCTGCAGGCAGCGTGTCTGCGAAAATGGCTTGCCATATAAGGAAAACACCAAGATGGGGTGAGAGGGGCAAGAATAGCTGTTGTGTGACTGACAGGTCTAGTTTCCAATCAGAGTGGGCGATTTTTACCAAGGCTCTCCAATCAAGGTGCTTATCACCTTGTTCTTGTCTGCTCTATGCTTTGTTAAGTTCTGATAGTGGTGCCTGCTTGGAAGATGTTGAACATTCCCGAACAAGTCCTTCTGCCTCTGTTCTACATCCACTCCTGTCAAATCAGCTTTAGAACATAAGAAGAGCCCTGCTGGATCAGACCAAATGCCTATCTAGTCCACCATCCTGTTCTCACAGCGCCCAACTAGATTCCTGTGGGAAGTCCATTATCAGGACATGTGCAAAATATCTCTTAAACATCTTTATTAATATAACCATTTAATCAACGGAGGCTGCAACTAACCCAGGAAGGTACACATGACCCCTTCTACACACTGAATGAATGTGCAGAAGGGGCTGCCCAGAGCCACCACTGCAGACTGCACCCCCTCCACAACCCCCCAATTAATGTCTGTTTGTTTCTCAGAAGCAGTTCTTCCTAGTAGAGATGCATCTGTGACAAATTACACATATTAATATGGAAAATTCTGGGGTGAGAGACTACTCAACAGCCCAGCTCGTTGGGGTACAAGTCCCCCGTGGGTCCATGCGGTCAGTAAAAGAAGGAAATTCCAGCCAAACCGCCGTCAGTTTGGCTGGACCAGCAATACAGCTGTCAGTAGACCATGATATTTATTGTTGCGCATCAGGTCCTCACAGGAGTAAGAAACCCAGAGCATGGGGCGACATTGACTTTTAAAACTTTCCACAATATCCCAGAATACAGTTCGTACAGCATCGTTGATACATCATCTTTACATCACTGACTTGTCACGAAAGGGGAGGGGTAGACAGGGGTTACACTAGTTCAACCTTGGCAGACATGTCCAGACAAGTCCTTGGAACAAGATTAGCATAGGCAAAACATGTCCAGGTACCTCTCAAGTACCCACCACCAAAGGACAATAGAGCTCCCTTTGCACATCCATAACCTGGGGCAAGTCCGGTGATGGGCTTTTGGAAACTAACAGCTCAGCATTTGTCACCCCTGGGCACTTCCCTGGGGGGGGTGTGTGAACATGTCCTCACGCTTGAAGGATTATGGCGGGAGGTGGCAGGGAAAAGAGTCCTTTTTCCAAGGGCAAAATGGAGTTAGAATGGAGGGAATTGGCAAAGGGATTGATTTTATATGATTTATAAATCTAGGTATCTTCCCTGAGCTGTCAAGTCGAAAGGATACATTCAGGCATAATATTTGTAACATTTAACAACTTCAAAGATGTGTCGCCCGCCCTCTTTCATTTCCGTAACAATATACATTAGCTATCTCCCATACTTGGGAGAACTCTTTCCAAAGAACATCAAACTAATGCTTGTTGGGCAGTCAATGAGAGCAGACAAATGCTGTCAGGTCACAATCATAAACACATTTAGCTGGGAGTAAGTTCTATGGAACTTCTGAGTAGACACGTATAGGATTGCCCTATAAATGTTGCATCTCTACTTCATATACGACAGCTTGTGGAGATGACAGAAATCTGTTGTTAAGGAAACATCCTATTAATTTAGACCTATATTCCTAATTTAAAAGCACTGCTCACAAAAAGCATGGTGGATGCCCTGAATTCCAAAGCAGCACCACTTGAGAGAATTTGCTCCAAGCACCTTCTTTGAATAATGTCTCTTAGTTCAAATTTTGATCTGGCAACCTTTTGGTGTAA